CCAAACCTGAATGAACTGACTCTGGCTCTTTTATCTTTCTATTGAAGCTTCTGATTGGTGTGTTTTCAATTATGAGATAATTGAGCTCAACCTGTGCTGATTGACTGAACATTATTGAATGTCAGTGCTTTCTCAATGACCACATGGTGTAAGCAATGAGAAATGAAGGGAATTGTGTGTAGGGTTTAGGGAAATGGCTGTGCTTTTTACATTTACTCATTTCGCAGACGCTTTTATTCAAAGCGACTTACATTTGAGGAACACCATACAATCATTAACAGAGCGTAAAATACAGCATGATATCTACAACTGACAATACATATTAATAAAAGCAGCAATAAATACTAGTAAGTGCTTATGCCACATATCGCATCAATGGGATAAATACCTAGGGAAAGAATTTAGAGTTAACAAAAAGTGCAATCAATACAAGATAATTGTAAGGGGATAGAAGAAGAAGAGCACAGGAATTGCATGTTAGATGTAGGAGTTAGAGGTGTTCCAAGAGGAAGTGTTCTCAGAAGAGATGAGTTTTCAAGAGCTGCTTGATGTTAGAGAGGGACGCCCCTGCTCTGATGGCGTGTGGTAGCTCGTTCAACCATCGTGGTGTCACAGATGCGAACAGCCGGGACTGGGAATGCATTGTGTGAAGGGATGGCAAAGCCAGGTGGCGTTCGTTGGAGGAGCGTAGTGGCCGAGAAGGAATGTAAACTTGTATTATGGAGCTTAGGTAGATGGGTGCAGACCCAGTAGTCACTCTGTATGCAAGCATTAGTGACTTGAATCTGATTCTGGAGGCCATGGGTAGCCAGTGGAGGTCACACGGTAATGGAGTGACATGAGTCCTTTTGGGCTGATCAAAAACCAGACGCGCTGCTGCGTTCTGAACCATTTGTAGGGGTTTCCCCACACAAGCTACAAGACCCGCTAGAAGGGCATTGCAATAGTCGAGGCGAGAGGTAACCATGGCCTGTACCAGAAGCTGGGTGACATACTGAGTAAGGTAGGGCCTGATGTTGTATAGAGCAAAGCGGCACGACCAAGAGACAGCAGCAACATGGTGTGAAAAGGACAGCTGGTCATCAATCATGACACCCAAGTTTATCACCACCCTGGTTGGAGTGATGGTTGAGGAGCCAATTTGTAGATTGATGTTATGGTGGATAGATTGCTTGGCTGGGATGACCAAGAGTTCAGTCTTAGAGAGGTTTAGTTGAAGGTGGCAAGCCTTCATCCATGCAGATATGTCTGATAGACAGTCTGTGATCTGTGCCGAGACGGTGGGGTCGTCTGGCGTATCGTCTGTGTAGCAGTGGTAAGCGAAGCCATGCGAGCAAATGATCGGCCCCAGTGAGGTGGTGTTAATTGAGAAGAGAAGGGGCCCTAGCACTGAGCCTTGGGGTACCCCTGTGGAGAGGCAGTGGGAGGAGGATAATTGTCCTTGCCACAAAACATTGTAGGAACACCCCGAGAGGTAGGATTCTAACCACAGAAGTGCTTTACCCGAGATGCCCATTGCTGAGAGTGCGGATAGTAGGATCATGTGATTGTGTCAAAGGCAGCTGATAGGTCAAGCAGGATAAGAACCGAGGATTGAGCTGCAGCTTTAGCTGACCTTAGGGCTTCTGTTACAGACAAAAGAGCCATTTAAGTAGAGTGGCCACTCTTAAAACCAGACTGATATGGATCTAGGAGGTCATTCCGTGAGAGGAATTCTGAGACCAGTCTGAAGACTGCCCATTCAATAGTTTTGGATAAAAATGGTAGAAGAGAAACTGGCCGATAGTTCTCAACTTGAGTTGGGTCGAGTGAGGGCTTTTTAAGCAAGAGTGTAACCCGAGCCCTTTTGAAAGTGGTCGGGAAGGTTCCTGAAGCCAGAGAAGTATTTATCACATGAGTGATTTCCGGGCCACAGTAGGAGATATGGCTTTATTCGATTCGTAGGAATCGGGACCAGTGGGCATGTAGTGGGACGGCTATGGATCAGGTGTAGTGCCATTGTCCATTGTAGTAGGACTGCTACATGTTAGCCTTGGTGTTGAGCCTTTTGCACCATTTCCCGAGGGAGATGGAGAGAGACATGTATAAGGACTGCTACATGATTTTGGTTTTCCTGTGCTGTGCTCACACAGTGGTAGCTGACCAGGGCGGGAATAGAATGGTTGTTTTTGAGAGATTTAGAGAATTGGCTAGTTATAGCCCCACTTTGCCTGTGAAGAAGGCAGCAAAGGTATCAGCAGACAAGTTTTTGGGTGGAGAAGGATTTAGTAGCGTTCTAAAAGTGGAAAATAATTTCCTTGAGTCAGTGTCACTGCTTATTCTGTCATTATAGAACACAGTTTTGGCAACACTGATGCTTGTTGAGAAGGAGGATAGGAGCAGTTGGTAGCCCTTAAGGTCGGCAGGGTCTTTGGTTTTTCGCCATTTTCTTTCAGCGACTCTGAGATCAGTACGGAGCCCACTGATGGTATCAGTTAGCCATGGGTGGGACTGGTTCGGGCGGGCAGGCTTGGTGGATAGAGGACACAGGCTATCCAGGCACAAGCTCCATTTTTCAAAAATAGAGTTATTTTAGTTCAATAGCCTGGTTATAGTGTTTAAGCAAGGGAGAAAAACTAATAGTTCCTTGTCAGTGAGCTTCATATTAGTCTTCTTAGTGATTTCTGTGAAATGCCATTCTTGTAACTCATGTATGTTTTTCCGCATATATAACACAATAAAACGATAAAAAAATGTAATTGTAAATGCATTGTTATGCGCAAAATTGAATAATGAATTTTAAAGTAGTGTATTGCGCACTTTTAATTTAAATGTACTGCTATATACACACAAAAGTGCAATAACATGATTTAAACAACACTTGCAGTGTTCACTTTACACAGCAGCAGTAAAATATTTCTTGTAAATCTCAATTTAAACATTAATGTAATCAAATCAAATATAAAACCAAAATTATTTTCCACTGCCAGGGCATTACCTTTTATCTAGGTTGTTAAAGAGCCACGATCATAAAATCATAACAGGCTAACATTATGTAAATCTGTTTTCAGGTATCAGCAGAAACATCTTTGTTTTTATCAGGGAGCAGCATAAACAGTCTATGTTCAGTAGCAAGTGTCCCTCTTAGAGTGAGGTGACGTGGTCAAGCACAAGGCGTAGGACAAACAGGCATGTTCCGGTGAAACTGTCTCGCCTCATGCACACGTCCGCCGCCTAAGTTGAATTGTCTTGAACTTTTTGTACGTGACGCTGTACAAATCATTGGAAGAGAGACTGATCCTCGCTGTTTGTGAGTTTTACTAATCAGCACGCCGTCTGTAGCTATCCACTTCGCTATGGCATTTTATCGCTTGTCTTGCTTTTGTTTATCTACTTCTCCCACATGCTGCATCCAACATAGTCTGCCGAGGCATTCCCTCTATACTGCTCGTTTGGGTGATTTGCTGGCTGATCAACATCCCACCCCTCCTGTGACCCATGGTTTGACTGTATGTGTATTCAGAACCAGTGAGAAACGGACTTTCAAAATAAAATGATTGTCGGCATTAATTAATGCGTTAATGCGATAACAACGCATCAACTTGCCCAGCCCTATAAAAAAGCAATAAAAAATGTAGATTGGGATTACTGGTCATTTGACCTAGACACCTTAGCATACCTGTAAGTAAAGTCATCTCAGTCTGCGGTGGCTTATTTTTGCTAAATCCTGCAATCTACCAGCACTGGTGTTGCCGTGCATGGGGAATTTCTTGTTTTATAGGCCAATAGTGATATCAGCTCATATCATACAGTATATTACCTCATATTTTACCTTAGATTTAGTTGGGAAAGGGTTATGAGAAAGTGAAAATGTACCGGAAACTGAGTTATTTTTCATAACTGAAACCAATAATCCTAACATAGTGTTTTTAACAGATGTACACTTTGTGATGCTCTGCTCTTCAGGGGAGCTATAAAGTTACTTATGTGATGCTAAGCCAATTTATGTGCTGATTCTTGTAAACAACTGAATCTGTGAGTCTGTGCATATATCTATCTAGATATATATTTAACAAATATTTATTCAGCACATTTTGGCAATGGTGCTAAATGAGAAAACATTTGGGAATCACTCGGAAGTAGGAAGCCAAGAAAATGTTATATGGCTCCGTTAACTAAACAATGCCATATCAATATTTACTTCTTCATAATCAACTGATACATGCAAGTCACACAATTTATAGTCACAGAAAGTGTTGTATATCCCATTTGGGTTATTGTACTTCATATCCACCTACTCATGACTGTGTGTGTGTGTTTACATGTTTGAGATGTGGAAAGAAGTGTAAAATTAAAACCTGTCTCTGTGTTTGTTGTTTGCCCGTCATTTTGTCTTACAAATGGTCAAGAAAATGCAGTTCATTTGTGGCAGTTGGATATTGCTTACCTTTACTATTTAGACTAAATACCAATAAAAGATGCAAGAATGCCGGCCTTCTCTGTTGCAAAATGCATGACAAACAAATTATTATGCAATTATTTATTATCATGATCACTCCAAACACATCAATGATCATCTGAGATGCAGGCAGGATAATGGCGCTACCTGCTTAAATTGCAAAGTAGATTTTTCGCTGGAAATGCTAACCACCACATCGCTCCTCTGCCCCCACCCCCCACTTTTGAAATGCAAGCAGTCTGGGTCAGTCCCCCAGCTCATTCTCCCATCTCTCATTCACATTACCTGTACTCACTCCTGCTCTTTTCCATCTCTCCCTACCTTTCCCTCGCTCTCTCTGCAAGTCTTTCACCGTGCCCTGGTATGATCAAAGACAGCTTTGTGACACTGTGTGTGGCATCCAGGAAGCAGGATACATCAAACCACTAAAGAGCAACTTGCAAAAAGACAGACACAGAGGGACCGAGGCGCACATGCAAGGGCGTGTATGTGTGTTTATGTGTGTGTGATAAACAAATGAATAAATTAACAATACAAGAGAGAGGGGTGACTTTGTCTCTACCTTCAGCACGTCGATGAAAGGTAGGAAGGTGTCCCTCTGAAGTCCGTTTTTGTACAGATCTGAAAGAGGAGGGGAGGGCCTGTATTAGAGCTGCTGTTTAGCCTCCTAATAATGTCATTCCCCAGCCGCAGATTGGCAGATAAAGTGGCTATTGATGAACTGAAGGATGGGTGGGGAGGCATGACAAAAGGACTGGGACCAGGAGAGAAAAATGGATTTCTCTACCGGCAGCGGCAGCAACATAAAATTCATTACATTCCCAAACAATGGTGGTGAGAAAAAGGACTGTCGCCTTTTCAGTGTGGACAATGTCCACAGCAGCTCGCTGAATAGAGGTTTCAATTAGCTCGGCTGGAACAAATTACATCTGAAGTAGCATCCGTGATAGACAGATAAAACAGATAGGGATTCACACACAAACATGGACAAAGGCACACACGCATCAAGGCTTAAGCCCCCTCCAGCTGCAAATGCAAACAAGTGGTCGTTGTTGATGTTTGGGCTTAAGCTTACTACAGTAGGACCCAATACCCGCTTGATAACTCCTATACTGTAATGGACTATTGCCAAGGTTAAAGCAAAGGAATAGGGTTTTCATGAGATCGATACCTCTCTAATATCTGTGCTGTAAATATGAAGCTGGAAACAGGAGCCAATTAGCTTAGCACAAACACTGGAAAAAGGTGAAAATCACTAGGCTGGCCGACAAAGCCTACCAGCACCTTTAAAATTCACTAATTAACATGTTAAACCTTGTGTGTTTAATTTAAATAAATCCAGTTATTTCTTGACTGGAAGCAGTGAATTCCTGAAAAAAGTCAGCCAAATAACCTCATGTAAAACTGCACTGTCAATTTTTTTTTTTACCTTTGAAGAGCCAGGGTAGCACTTTCACTGTTACCAGTCATTGTGCTAAGCTAAGCTTACCAGCTGATATTGATAGTTTCATATTTATGTATAAATCTGCTCACCTAACTGTCAGCAGGAAAACAAACAATTTCCTATGATGTTGAGCTGTTGATTGCTATAGGTAGATGTAATTGATGCCACTGTGAAGGAAACATATTACTGAATTATGGTAATCAAAATAAGCTCACAAAGACTTAAAATTTAGTAATGTAAACTGCATGTGAGATCCAGTGTATTGAGGGTTTACCACCACAAAAAGACACCATTTATACCGCTAACACTCCTCAATCTCATTAAACTCCATCAGTGTTTAAGAACAACAAAATGCTACTTTAGCCGTTCTAGAAAAGACCTATCGCTAAACTCCCCCTCCAAACACATCTAGGGCTTTTTGATACTGGCATCTCCACATCAATAAAGACAGAAAATGTACGCCTTTCATGTCCAGTTGTCTCTTATGGCTTTCAGTGTTCCATTAACCATGTAATTAATACCAAGTAGGCTCTCTATCAAGTTTTCCTGGTTTAGTGCTTTGTTCTTAATAGCTAGTAAATATCAGAGACGGGCATCTTTGTCTAAGAGAGCCATCTTGCTGCCATCCACTTCGTATCCACTCGAGACTTTCGAGACATCAACATCTTCCCAAAGAAAAAAAAGACCTCAGATAACACATCATGCATTTATCTCCGCCTTGATCAACGCCTTGCTCATTCTTTCTCCGCTGGCACTAAATGCAACATCAAAGCCTGTTTAAAAGGTTGTATCATGTCAGTGAGAGCTGTATCAAATGTTCCTCGCCTTTTCCTCTGGTTAATTGCTGCAAAGGTGTGGTAAAGCTGAATTGGTTGTTGATTGAGCCAAGCACTTTCAGATAAAAGTATTAAGCGAATAATGTAGATGTATGTAAAGTGACATTTGCTGGTTCAAAGGGAGGAGAAGAAGCAAACATTATTACGTGTCATTTTAGCTACAGGCAGATGGTGAACCGTTTACTGACTGGTTAAATGGATGTTCAGGTCTAAGGCATTTTTTGAAAATATTGTACTGTTAGCAAGAAGTGGTAAAAGCTGACTCACTGTGACCGTGCACTCACAGCGAGGTGCAGACCATTGTTAGCTTCAGTAAACAGTCATCAACTTCAACATACCGTGCCCTATTCCTCAAACAACTCCCCAAATTACTATGATTTATAAGTCACGTAATTAACTGATGTACTGGAAATCAAGAAACTGGAAACAACTTCAGATACCACCCTGATTAAGGGTAGCTATTCAAAAATATTTGGAGAGAAGAAAAGTGATGTGTTTAATTTTGAGGAGCAGTTAATAGTAAAGTTGTTGGTAGCATTATGTGCTTTCAACAACTCATCAATCACTGCCTTTTAGCAGCACCAGGAAAATGTGATGGAGCTAAATTAAGATCATCCTGATGGCAAAAAAAAGGAATCAGTAAAGTTCTCTTGTGCAAGGCCCTTGATTTTTTCACATTCAGTATAACTGAATGTAGCCGTGGGTACATTAGATATCTTCCAGGTGTGAATAGGTCTAACTTCAGAGCATGCACACTAAGCAAAGGGGATGTTTCCAGCTGTTCCAATAACCTTTCCCCCTTCCATATTCTCTTTCTTTCAACTTCTTATAAAGTTGGAGTAAAGTGACTTATTTGGCAGTGTTTTAATTTAATCCCTAAGGAGCATGATGTGGTTCAAAAATACCCTATTTGTTTGTAAAGTCCACAGTAAGAAATGTTAATACATTCCTGCAATATTAGTAGAATTTATTATTTGTCTTTGCTACTATTAATGTTGTGGTAGTTATAATGTTTCTGTTACTATAATTCCCTTTAACTCTTTACACTCACTTGTTATGTATGATTTCTTTGCCATTTGAGTAAAAAAGTCTGTTGAGCAAGAGACTATACTATGAACCTGCAGTGTGACTTCACTTTTAATACTAAACCTTTAAAATTTAATGAGTTAATGGTTTCTGAGCATTCATTTACCTCAGACTTATTGCTTTACATCCACTTTGTAGGTCGTGGGAAATTCTGAGAACAGAAAAGAGTGCTAGAGTGTTAGTCCGGAGGCTATAAACTTGTACTAAATCATTCTACCTATTCACTCAACTGTGTGTTTAGTAACAGCAATATAATTAATACAAAGAGCACTGGTCTTCATACCATCAGGTGGTCTGTTGGAGGTGGCCACCACCACTACTCCGGCCTTGAACAGCGTCTCAAACAGCTGCTTCAGGATCATGGCATCAGCAATGTCGGTGACCTGACAGAACAGAACCAGAGAAGAAGAAGGAGACATTCATGTACTGTATAATTCAGCTTTCCTTGCCACACTCTGTGTGTGTGCGCGCGTGTCTGAGGTCAAACCATGCCGTCAACACTCCATGTTGATTAGTGTCATTCAGGTGTGCTCATTGAATCCTTTGTGTCTGGTCATGGCCATACACACTCCATCCACGCGCACATACACATAAACACACCTACACCACTTGAACTGACTGCAAATGGTCACGAAGCAGCTTTCTGCTGGGGACAAGTAGCTGAGGCAAGGCAGCGGCCCGAGCTAATCAACTGAGCAGACGTGAGAATGACTGAACGCAGGCGTGAAAACAAGAGGAAGAAAAGAATAATGAAAATGGAGCAATGTGAATCCAGGCTGGGCTCACGATGGCAGACAAAGCTTCTACCCAAGATGGCCAAATAAAGGCATATAAAAAGGTGCGCGCGTGTGTTGTATGAACTAGACACAAGGCAATTCAAGGTTATAATACATAAATCCAATTAAACTGCTTGCTGCCTTTTTCATCTACATCATTTCCATGTCCACAATAAACAAAGGTCGATGACAACACTGAAGCAAGGACGTTTATGAGTCGCTGGCCGTTAAATAAAGAGCTTTGACCTTTCTATTAGTAATCCAGTGCTCTCACTTTTGTTCTTATTCTCTCATCTCTCTCCCTGTTTCACCTCTGTTGTTCATCCACAAAGTGAGAAATCATGTTGCCCTGTGATGCACTGTAGCCAAAGCAGCATGTATATTACACGAGCGATTAAACATGATGACTAATATGAGCATATTGTAAAAAAAAAACCCAAAACTGATTTATTTCAAGCGTCTGTTGTTGCTCAAAGTCGCCAGTCTCGTGCCAACTGTCATTGACAAGTTTTCTGCCCATATAACCTACAAATCAACAAAAATATAGTGATACTGCTGTAAATAAAGAATCCATTTTTGGCGAGAAACATATTACTTCTCAGTACACATCCACATTTTAGGTAAACTGAGAGTTACATTTCAAGTTACTTTACTATAATCTTAAAGAGAGGGCATGTCACATTTTGGAATGAAACCTTTTTAAGAACTAGGATGTCTTGAATAAAAGGAAGACTTCTGTCCCGCCTTCTCCTCTTACTCCCCTCTTACCTACTTTCCTGTATATAACAGGCACTTCTAATGGCCATACCCACAGCATATGCCTTCTTTCATACTCTGGAGGGTCTTCTGCTTTTTGCATATTAGCCCCACTGCCCTTGCCAATGCTTGATTAACATTTGTGTTAAAGCCTTGATTTCACTAAGGAGAGGTGGCTAGGGGCATCAAATTAGTGTGTGTGTGTGAGTGATTGTGTGCGTGTAATGAGAATCAACAGAAAGCCAAGGCTCTGTGTCTCTCTGAAGGGGCCCCCATTTCCTCCGACCGCAGGATTTTATTTTCATTTCAAAAGAATCATTTAAAAATGACCTTTTATACAACCTGGATTTGTTTATTCATGTGCCCTCAACATGGGCATAGTATGAGGGGCAATATTGATTGCTGAATGAGTAGAGGGAGAGGGAAAGAGAATGGGTACCCACAGAATGAGAAAGGTGGAGGGGACTGATGTAGCACTTGTGGAACACAAAAATAATGGTGCAATCTCCGTCAGCCAATGCTGATATTTAAATGAGCATCCAATTACTCAAGCGGCTGTCAGTTTACAGCGAGGCACACGGGTGCCAAATTAAACCTCTTTTGATGTTACACCTCTTTATGTACACAACCTATGAGCAATTTCAGAGGCTGCACGGTGACTGAGGCCCTGAGACAATGGCGCGCACGCGTTTTCTTCTCACTCTTCTTCTTCCTTTCTCACTCTCTTCCCATCTTTCCATCTCAGACCTCTCAATGGCGAGTATTCATTAGGGGCTGTGGGTGGGGGCCATAAAAGGAGGGAGGGGGGCTACAAATTACTGATAATGGCACGACGCTAATGAAGAGAATGGAGAAATGTCATTAGCATTTAAGAGGATAAGATCCATCTGACCCGCCGCCGCCAGTCGCTTTCTAGCTCCACTCACTTAAGGAAGCAGCAGAGTGCGACTGATACCCAGAGCCTCATTTGCATGGCTGAGTGGAGGAGGATGCTGATTGGTATAGACCCCCCCAATCCCCAACTCTCCCAAACCTCGCAACCTCTTGTTTATGCATCACAAACAACACGCACATGTCTGCTTGTTTCCCCTCCATTCAACGGTAGCAACAGTCGACAAGTGAAAACAGCAAAGCTGGAAACAGCAAACAAAACAAATCAATGAGAATGCACAAACAGCGCCGCAGTTTAAAATGTGAAAGACGGCCGGATGAAAGGAGCAGCTCTTGATCCTCGCAGATGCATAGAGAGTGATTAGAGGGAGCAAGCGCACCTTCTGTGACCTTTGACCTGCTGGCATTAACTGTAATGATATCAGTAAGAGGAACAACATTGTGCTGCTAACAGATGTTTGGCTGGCTAATGATAAAGACAAAAGCACACGTCTTTCTCTACTGCAGTGAATGACTAACTACCTTACAGACAAAGATTCAGTAGTGGCTCTCTCCTTTGAGGATAGGGTAAAATAATGAGAAGTTCTGCAGCACTAATGGCTGAAGGTAAATGGACTGTACTTGTATAGCGCCTTTCTAGTCTTCCGACCTCTCAAAGCTAACACTACATGTCATATTCACCCATTCAGACACACATTCATATACTGATAACAGACCCTACCATGCAAAGTGCTCATCGCAAAGAAACTAATCATTCACACACTCACAATCAGAAATTTGGGGTTCCACATGCAGACAGGAGCCGGGGGTTGAAACACCAACCTTCCTATTAGTAGGCAACCCGCTCTACCTCTGGAGCCACAGCCGCCTCTAAGGTGCCTTTTAGTTGAAAATCCAGTGTGCATAAACTAAGGATGACTTGGTTGTAGTAGTTTAGTTGCACAAACAAGCAACAGGAGCAACATGACTCAACTGAATGCTGCAGTGTCAATGTAATGATAATGTAATGCTATACCATGATACATGTGATATAAGATCACACAATTTTACTACTACTGCACTAGTAAATTTACTACACACTGAAGGAGAGAGAATGTTTCAATGCCACTGGAAGTCATTTTACAATTATGTTGTATTCAAAAAGGCCACTAGGTGTCCCCAGTCCTGTTTTTGTGGGGCCATCAAGATCAGAGGCTTCCAGTGGCTGTGACTGAACACTAACAGTGATCACAGATTGAAAACTCAACACTGAACTCAGAATATACAAAGTGCTACACAGATAAAATATATGTAGCATGTGTCAGAATAATATACAAACAATTACTTCAGCATGTATATATACAACACAACCACCTCTTGTCAAACGTCTGCTATCAGACGATTGACTGTAGGCCAGACTGACTATTTTATCTGGAACAGTATTTGACATATTAAATATGAACATTGTACAGCACCTTGGTTGTTTGGGATTTTCTTTCATTTTGTGAACTTGTTTAAACCTTTAAAATGCCTTAAACAGAACAAATATTATTTTTACTATATACACAAATATACCCAATAAGATGCTTTACTTTAAACCGTTGGCACATTTTAAGGACTTTGTTGGTATTTATTTAATCCTCCCAGCCAACAGGTATTCTTAACAATAACATACATAAGCATCAGCATGCCATCATTTTATAGAGTTGTATTAGCAGTATTTTTTTTTTACCAGTATCACCTATTGTTAAGTACTAGAACCACTGTTTTAAGTAAATGCACTTGATATATGGAGTATCAAAACACACAACAGTGTTGAGATTTCTCACTGTCTAGTTTGCTACTTGTTTTAAGAACAGAAACACACACGCAGCCTGTAACACACTCACCTGAAACTCGTCAAAACACAGGAGGCACGTTTCATCGCTGAGCTCCATGGCAACCGGTGATATGGGGTCATAGGTGAACATTTTCCCTAGCCTTCGCTTTGGCAGGCTTTGTTTCCTCCGATGGATCCCTTTAAGCAGTACACAAACGTCAGGCACGTCTTTAAGCACACCTGCATCGGCAACCCAAACTCAACGACAATACTGAATGAATAAAGCGGTAATTTCACCTGTGCGCATAATGGTAGACAATTAGCAGGAGGGCTTCAGGACAAACAGAGTGCTAAATATAGGATCTCCAGCGCATGAGTCAGAAAACTTCAACAGTTAATGCCGTGGAGTGGGAGGATAATACTAACTTTTGTGTATGTCCACCATGAAGCCATTAAAGTGGACTCTCTTTTTACGAGTGTTTTCCACACGGGAGTAAAACATATCCATGAGCATGGTCTTCCCTGTGCCTGACAGGTAGAGAGAATAAAGAAAAAGCAATTATTCTCACTTCTGTCCAGATCTCATACATCTTTAGTGCCATATTAAATGCCTTAGTGATATTTATTTCTATGATATAAAGACATTTTCTATATGTGATCTTACCAACATCTCCATAGATATAGAAGCCTTTGGGTGGTAGTGGTGGAGTTGGAGCAGTGTCCTCCTTTGGGGATAAAGGAGTACAAATGAGGAAATGACTGCGGTGTGTTTGTTTTATCTTCAATCTTTTAACATCTGCTTGTCATCATAAATAATAATGTACAATCGTTAACCATAAATCAATTGGGTTGTTCAAAATTAATGTACAGATGAATTCCTTATTAAAAGAACAAAACTATATCTGGTGACCTAAATAAACTTCATTATATTCATTACCATATAAGACTGAATCATCGTTTAATAAACAATGTATGGTGAGGCATTAAGCCACCACTACAGTGTGAGGTTTCACATTCTCCAGACTAGCCCACTGCAGGGGAGGAAGACAAAGGGGATCTAATCAACAAGACAAGCCAGGGTTCCCACGAAAGAAAAGCATCATCAGAGGAACAATGGGGGGATTTGTCAGACAAAACGGAGAGGACTGGATGAGGCTCCATACGAGATGGAGTGGACTTGTCTGCACAGCCTGTTTAGCGCTGCTAATTGTGATACGGTACTGTTGCATTGAGGTGCTGCTGGAAGTCATTGTGCTGCCTGCCTCCTATCATCAAAAGGTCTTTGCTTCAAAAAAACGTCTTCTGTGTGACCAAGCTGAGAATATAGAGTAAAGCCAAATATCTCTAAAGAGGGCCCAAGCCATGTAAACGCATATATCACCAGTTTAATCGTGACATGTAATGATAACTTGGCACATATTTGTCTATAGAGCAACAACGATACATGTTTTTATATAAGGTTTAACAACTGGAGGATTGTCCATCTCTGTAACTGGGCAACAGGAAATAGATTCGGAACGTACTCAGCACTAAATAGAAAGGTTTGTCCTCTTTAAATTTAATTTAGCAACTATTTCATGGAGACGGTACTCAGTGTCCACTGCACTTGGTGTCCACTGCACAAGGAGCACTTGACTCTGGTAAACACAGACAATGGCCAATTGAAAACTAAATGAAAAAACAAACTTGTTGCCCATCCTCTCTCTCTGCCCTCTTCACGCTCCTCCCCTCTACCCCCTTCATCCCTCCATCCCCGCTTGTCCTGTGCTGGAGTGAAAGACTGGAAGAGCAACAAGCCTTTCCTGTCTGCTCTGGCATAACAGTGTGTGACTTCTCCCTGACTTCCCAAGCTGCCCTCTGGCATGTTGGGGTATTGTCAGTGGTGGCTGAAAGCCATTCTGCTACGGCAGAGTGGAGAAGGACAAGGCTGTCCCTCAGACACTATGTCTATCTGAGCTCTGTGGCCTTGTCTCACCTCCCAGTGGAGGATATAGACTGGCATATGAGTGGAAAGTTCATACGCAGGACATGTCCACTTTGGCTTTGAAAGGAGTTAAGGAAAACTGCTTTTGAACATGTTTATCAGCAGCCAGAGATGTCATGTTTCTCACTAACAAGGTTAATGGAGTAATTGTGGGAGTCAGGTACAACTGTCCTGCTGGAGAGCTACAACGTACAGGATGCAGGTCTGACTTGAAGAGGGTGGCTCTCTCCAAACAATGGCCCATTGTTAGCCGACCATCCGCAAAACCACGCCACATTTGGTCAATATTAAGTCAAGTGTACTCTCCCCACAGACTTGGTCAGTTAGTGAGGACAATGGCGGCACTTCACAGAGAGAACAGACACCGAAAGGACAGTGGTATGACCTGATTTAAACCAAAATAATTGCATAAGTACACCAGTCGGTGTGTATGTGTGTGTGAGGGACAGAGCAAGAAATAAGGTGCAAAAGAAGAGGGGGCGGTGGTGTTGATAGCTTAACACCAAAGTATTTGTCAGAGTCCCGAATCAAAAGCAAAAAGGACAAGAATGGCCCAGACAATGGGGATCCCCTCATTACTGCATGGGGACGGTGAGAGTGAGAGGGGTGCCGGGACGGGCCCAGCGGGAGGTCTGCCCTGCTGCCTTCCAAAATCTCTGCCTAACCCTATGTGTCTGTGCCAGCCAACCAACAAAAAAAACTCCCACCACCACATACGAGACAGTCAGCTCCCCTGACCTAAAAACAACAACAGCCTCCTACATTACGCCGTTCCAAAACTCAAATGCACAATACACTTCCCAGACCCCTACCCTCCCTTTGACCTGAGCGCCATGGCCACCATCAGTGAGACAACTGGAGTACAGTACAGTGGACTCTGTGAAGTCCCTCCATATGTTAGACGTCAATGGGGCTTTATAACAGAATGAGAGTCCAGATGCCACACTGGAAAAGGCTTTAAACAAATCCATGCTGCCATGTAAATTGTAAAGGGTGTCCTAAGTCACTCACTATTTTCTACCTAGTGCGCTATTTTCACTCTGCAACATTATATTTGAGCGTCAGAATTCTAAAGAAAATATAAGTGTACAAGCTGTGATTCAGAATTATTCAGAATTGCATCCCAAATCCCCCAAATATAAAAAAAAAATGCAACATAGCCTTTTTATAACTACATTAAAGTGTAAGCATGCACAAATAAATCAGAACACATAAATATTGTGTTAGCCTCCACAAAAAGCTAGTGAGTGAAATTTGCATTGTTTCATCAAAGAAGTAGTCTTGATTAGCCTATATAGGCCTTATAGTGTTGTATTCATGGGTGTAGTCTGCAAAGTGAACATGCAAAGAATCCCTCTCTTACATGGACTATTACTGAGCAGTAAAAAGGGGAGTTTGTCACGGCCCCCTAATGTGACACCTGCACAACCGCACTCCAGTGGCCTGTACTACGAAGCGAGGTAACTGGCTTATCCAGGTAACTTACCTAAATTTTAAATACCATGTTGATTATCTTGCAAGGAAATTAAAATTCACATTGGGTTTTCTGTACAGGCTAAAGTCTTGTTTCTCCACGGCTTCACGAAAACGCTTTGTTGCTGGCCTTTTTCTGTCACAGATTGATAATGGGGATACTATCTACAGGTTTGCCTCTCTGTCCACCTTGTCCAAACTTGACCCCCTTTATCACTCAGCTCTCAGATATGTCATTAACCCTAGTTTTAGGACACATCATTGTATACTGTACAGATTGGTAGGATGGTCATCTCTTCACTTGTGCAGGCTTGAACATTGTTATATTCTAATTTATAAGAATTTTAGGTAAACTTCCAAATTATTTAAAATAGACATTTTTAACTTTTCAAAACCGTCATAATCTCAGGTCACATAACTGGCTACAGTTCAAAGTGCCTGCTATCAGAACAGAGGCTGGAAAGCTAAGCCTGTTCTACTATGGCCCCAGGACTTGGAATGATGTGCAGACCAAGCTCAAACTTCAATCCCTCATCTCTCTAAATGATTTTAAACATAGAATAAAGGAGGTGGTCATTGCCAACTGCAACTGCTTTGCCAATTCTATTACCACTTAACTCCTCATTAAATCTATGCTCTAATGCTGTTGTTTTTGTTTTGCTGTGTTTTCTGTTGTACCTAATGATGTTCTTGTGATTAGTTTCTTATTGTTGCTTGGTTATCTGTTTGATCCTGCTATCTGTCCCTGTCTTGACTAGGTCTCACTTGCAAAAGGGGTTTTAACCTCAATGTGACTTTCCTAGTTCAATAAAGGTTAAGAAGAACTTCAGGAGTAACTTTGTGATGTTGGGTATAACTTCCCAATTAACCCATACTACTAAAGGTGGATAGGTGTTAACCGAGGTCTGTTGCCATGGCAATTTATGCTGCATCTCTAAACTGCTCCTAGCAGGTTTTGTTTGTGGTTAACTCAAGGTTATACGTAGACTACACACCATATCTGTACTCACTATTAATGATGAGAAGTAGGATATTAATACGCTACCACTTGACCACATATTTTCAGATTTCATCCTGACTTGTTCCACTGCGGTTGCAGCTGAAATTAAGTTATTCTTAACACAACAGCATTACGTTCATACAGCCCTGCAGCCTCTGTGATTTCAGGGAGGAGATATTAATTAATAAACAGGACAGTTTCATCTGTAGGCTATAATTGAATTCTCCAAAGTGTATTCACATATTAAGATTGACTAGGCTATTCTACGTGTCCAAAACAATATGGAGGCAGGTGGGGGTTAATAAAGCGAAAAGAAAAATCCTAGATGAAAGTGTTGAATTTTCAAGAATAAAAATCGGAAATTCCCTGAAATTAAAGTCACAAAAAATCTAAGTCACTCTGGTGTTTTCTTCTGAATACGCCCAATCCACAGCAAAGTCTTTAAGGTGCATGATAATAGGTAGGTAGGTTTATTGTCACAATATAACATGTTATAGAGTGAAAGTGAGTTTTAATATAGTGATTTTGAGCTAAACTCACATTTCCTCACTGCTAAATCCAATTGCAAAGTCTAATATAATTTTCCACCGCACGCAATAGGCTACATGGCAGACGTGTGTGATGTTGCAGCCTTGCTAAGTGAAGCATGGGGTTCCTTGAAAACCCCCCCCACTATTTTGAGTTTCTCTCATAAATGTATGAATAAGCCTAGAATGTCAGAGAATATAGGCTATTCAAGTTTTTAACTTTTAGATTTGTGATTATTAGTTTCTTGTAAATTTATCAGAGTAATCTAAAAACTCTTTCCCCCTCTCCCCTTGCTCCAATAATTTTTATTACAATGAACATAATGTGCTGGTGTATCTCTACATCTTAATGATATTACACATTTATTTACATTATGAAGAGTCCATAAAATACATAATAAAGAATTAGCCTACAATAAGGACACTGTGAATATAAATTCTAAATTATGTGCGATGCCAAACAGCCTCCCTGGCTTTGTCGGCCTCCACAGTGTTAGATTAGGCCGGTAATGCGTCTTTAAACTCCTCATTTCTTGACTAAATCAACGTGCATTCTTCTGGGGAAAATACGGAGCATGCGCCGTTGCGAAAAACTCTGCCTGCACGGCCGAACACGTCCCTTTTATGTGAACGCGCACCGACTCCAGTTAAGTTAAACAGGGGGTTAACACCGACTCAACTAACCAACATCTTATTCACCGTCGTAGTGCCGTTTAACACCAGTGTAGGCAGTCAGAGATTGTCAACGCTGAGGTTGGTTGATAACCCTGAGTAGGATGAACTCCCTTACCTACAGGCCAGGGGTAGGCTATAAGAGTGTTTTGATTTAGTTTGCCTTTTGGGATGATTGTTGTTTGCTTGGTGTATTTAGTTTTTTGTCTGTCTGTCTGTGTTGCATTTCCCTTTGTCATGATCAGCATGGAGTTTGTGGGCGTGGCCTTCGACTTCCCTGGTTGGTACTCTCACACACCTGTTCCTTACCTCACCAATCACCTCAGCGTACTTGAACCCAGACCAGCCTTCCAGTCCGTGCTGAATTATTTTGTCATTTAGTATGCTCACCGTAAATCTAACAACCTACCAGTATTTAGAATCTCTTTTTGCTCTTGTTCTCGGCATGTTTACCTGTCTGCACCGTTAATAGGAATCTCCTTGTCTACAGGAACTCATCACCAGAACGCTTGCGCCAACCCCTGAAATACCCAGCTCACTCTGCCAGTCAACAATCCACAGGAGCACTTTCTGAGGGTGTTTCTCAAGTCTCTTAATAGCATCCACGTTTCCCTCACCTGCGTCTTAGTCCCGCCCACCGGGGATGCATGGAGAGACGCAAAGAAACCAAGCCAGGAGAGAAGGAGCAAGGAAATATGTTTCTAGAGACATGAGACGTCGGCTGCGTTCGAAAAGTCTTTTTTGCTTAGGAAGGTTCCTAACTGAGTGAAGTGAACCGGAAGTAGGCCTATTTCAGTGGCAGTTATGATAAAAGCTGGAAAGGTGCCTCAGTGCTTCCTTTCATATCTCCTTTAGCATAGGGTACACCGGACCATCCTTATGAAAGGAAAGGAGAGAATGCCGTCCCACAATTCCTTGCGGCGGCAACATTTAAAGCGGCGCACGTTCTCAAACGATAAAATCCCTCAACCACATTTAGCAAGACCCTTGCAATACCGATGCACACTTTCTTTAAGACTTCTTCTGGCTTTTTTTGCTAATCTAATACTGTTTCAACACCGTTTTATGTTTCGGTTGTTGAAGTAAGCCATTAAGTGTTTTCTACAATAAAAACCAACCAACCATGACGGATAAAGGTTGATCACCATGTAAGTTACCATTGGCTATTATGCCTTTTCTCTCTTATGCCATAACTTGCTAACATGCATCTTAAACTGTCAACAATAACTGAGACCCATGCCAGCTGTTACTAGTCTTGTAAGTGATCAAAGTGAGGATAATGTTGCAGCGTGTAGCCTTACGTTATCTGCAGCCTTCAGCAAATTAATTCTACTTCAGTCACAGATGCTGACACCCTCACCTTAATAAAGGCAAAGATCAAGCTGGATAACCTCGACAGAAGGCGTTTCCCACACACGATTTATTTGTGGCGGCTTGCCACGTGATTTTCGATTGATTTTGTTACTATTTAAAGTGGGTAAAATAGTATTTGATGACAGTCTCTCGCTCTCTCTCTCAGAAAAGGGCAGTCGGATTCTCTGAGCCCCGCGGTCCTCTTTATGAATTCTCCTTTACATCTTTCCTTAACCTCATGACGTTTTCCGTCGAGGTCAAAGAAAGGAGGTTAGGAATTTTAGGAAAGGAATCTTGACTTTTCGACCGCAGCCCACCTTTCCTCCTTCTGTTACCTGTTTAACAAACATCTGCACATGAAAAATTATTTAGGCTACTGTATGTCTTACTCAGAGAGCCTATCCTTTAACACTACTACATACATTTTATTTGCATGTCCCATCACTCGTCACCGATCATCACTGCGTTCCATCATATCAATCCAACGATTTTTTAGCGCAGCAGCGCTTTCATTCATCAGATGATTTTACTCGCGGAGCTGCCGGCTGCTTTAATCAGATGCTTTGCTCGCTTCATTAGATAGCCTACTTTGGTGCAGTTTAGTGACTTGACCGACTTCTTACGTGTTTAGGCCTACTATGTTTTATTATATTTGGACTAAACACAGGAATGACCAGCCTCACTGAATAGAAATGACGATAAATGATGTAAAACTGTCTGACTTTAATTGTCTCCATTATAAAAGTTGATGTAAAAAGAAAACTTTCTAATAAATAGGCTAAATAAAGTTGCGTGTGGGGCTTTTGTTGTTCAGACCTACAATGAAGACAGATTTTAACAAGACAGTGAATCATAAAAGAACTCATAAGACTTTGCAGCGATACACTTGAGTTTAATGTTATCAGTCCGATCAGCTGCAGCGTCCAATCAATATAACAGCTACCGAAAAAGGGGGCGTGTCGGTCAGTAAAAGACTTTCGCGAAGGATGCTCTGGTGTACCCTCGCTCATAGGTCCTCAGAGATCGCACCTATCCTCGCTCCTTGGAGCGCAAATAAGAGCTTTGGGACGGCCTGCAAGATGGCGGAGCGGAACAACTTCCGGTTCGATCGAGGAGCGAGGAAACGACAAATAAGAGCCTTGAGAAGCCCCCTGATTCACCAACCTAACTCTCCCGTCTGCCATACCCAGCCCGCACTGTTTAGACCCAGGATTCAATCCTAACCCCAGCCCCTGTCATCTGCCACCCACTCTGCTACAAATTAACATTGTTATAATACATTTAGATTCCACTCTGTCTCCGGTCTGCTTTGGGTTACTTGTATTCAGACTGACAACTTTATGTTGCGTGTTAGTAACACACAGCAGATCAACTTAACAAGTCAGAGAGAAGTGATCTAGCTGGCAGTCAGTATAAGCTTGTTTCTCAGTGAGAATTGGAGATGTGTTCAAAGTGTTTTGTTTATGCACATGTTTCATTCTGCTCCTTGCTGGCAGTGACTCAGACGCATTTGTTGCATTATGTCATTTTGGTTAGGTCTGTGGTGTGGTGAGACTAATTAGCCTACATGTCATATCAATAAGAAATAATCAAAATCACGAGGATAACTAGGCTACTTCAATTATATTCAGTGGGAGATTATTAATCTGTGTGAACATATTTTGCTATTGAAGAGTTGATGATTTGATTATCTATCATTTATTGTTTAGGGCACATTGTGTCAACATAATTCTTTACCTTAGCAGCGGATCCACCACCTTTGTTTTCAGCGGTTGTGATGTGGGAGTCTGTATCTTTTGGAAGCTGACTGCAGTCATCTTTTGACTTAAGCCTCGATGGAGATGGGTTCAAGTAGATGCTGTTACTGTAGTTCTTGAGTGTGTGCTGCAGCTGAGACAGCTGCTGAAAAACACCCCTCTGATGAGCATCTTTCCTCAGGGAGCCACACTGAACGAGGCGATCATAGTGTGCAACCGTTTCACTGAAGGCACAAACATCTGGTGCTAGAGACTCAAAGGAGCAGGATGATGCAGATGAACTGCATGCCCTCCAACTAATGTAACCTTGAAGTAATACAGCAAAAGTAATCTTTGTTAATCGTTACCGAACTGTTACAAAAATATCTTCATTCTATTAGATGCAATAAAACCGTGACTGGAAAGAGAAGGCACTACAGTTAGTGTAATCCAGAGGTTATCGGTGCAGCCAGCAGTTACCAAACATTTACCTAAGAAGACAAGTTGTAACACACTAATCTTAGCTCAACCTGAAAACAATCCACATTCAACATGACGGAAAAACCACTTACCACCGGCTGACAGACGGCGAATTTTCGTTAATGTCAGAACAGTGTTATTTAGCAAACATTGAATTGACCTCGCAGCTGCAGGTACCGTGTAAGCCGCCATGATGTTTCAAAACGCGAAAACTTTATTGAGTCATTTGACACAAATTCACCGAATAACACAAGAATGGAAAGGTTTTAACTGTGGTAAGTCCTGATTGTATGTCATCAAATATAACCAATTTCTTGATTTGCTTGTAAACAACGGAAACTGTTGCAAATTTTAGACCCATATAGCCTAGATCCCCGATGTTTATAGGATTAAATTATATCGTTGTTAATCAATAAGATGAAATAATCCGCTTGTTTTTAATACCTAATATTCTTTTTTTTATTTAGATAATATATATAGTCACACTGAACGTCGGAACACCTGCGTTTTTGTTTTTTACATTTGAGCAACAGTTAGACCTACGTTACATTGCGAAGTACAATTGATCCGGATCATACAAATACAATGATTATCAAATTATGTAGTGTATATCGTCCAAAAACGTGATTAGGACCAATGTGCCCGCTGGCGGGTTGTAAACAAACCAAGCAGCAGGTGGCCGAGCAGCAGCATCAGCTGAACCTCAGCTGATCGGAAGTGTAGCCTGCTGGCCTTTGAAGCTAGCGATAGTCAGAGACAGAGCAACACCGGAACTTGGGTGATTGGCCTTCAACATAAAAGTTCCAATTAGACTTTTTAGGTGTATAAATGATAACGTTGCGTGGAAAAGTATGACTATAAATATGAAATAGTATTTATTACAGAAACGCCTCCAAAGCAGTGTCACTTTTCACTATATCGTTTAACACGCGGACACAATAATTACCAAATGTTTTATTTTGAAGGTTAGTAAAGGAACGTACATGTTTGTATTCTGGCTAGCTTAACACTATTACAAGCTGCTAGAAGGACAGGAGAGAAATGGCTGATACCATAGCTGATACAAGAAGGCTCTTCTCCAAGCCTCAAAACTTAAATGACGCTTACGGACCCCCAAGTAATTTTCTAGAGATTGATGTGAGCAACCCTGAGACTATCGGGGTCGGCAGAGGCAGATTTACCACGTATGAAGTCAGACTGAAGGTGAGCCTGCTGTAACAAGTGCTAATGACGTTAGCTTTTAAGCTAGCTACCTAAGCTAAAAAAACGTCTTTCCTGTAGTCAAGGAAAGCTATGAGTCATTGACATCAGTATTGCTACAGTCAAACAAGACAATATTTAACGTTAAATGTGTGTATGATTATCTAAAAAGAGCAAAATGTTATTTTCGAAACGATTTAGCCAACGATAGCAAGCAGGCTAGTAACACTCGTCAAAACTAGCTAAAACTGGTTAGCTGTTTAACTTTAAAGTTAATGTTAACCGTTAACGCTTAAGTTATTTGACCAGACGATACTTATCGTTAAGTCGTCGAGAGATTTTGACAATGTTAACAAGTACAGCGAACCTATTGGCTAATGTTTGCTCTTACAATAATTGCTAACGTTATTGCTCTGCCTTAGAAGGGAATTTGTTTACATTAGCCTCAAGTGCCCCCCCCCCCCAAACTGTGGCGTGACAGAGGAGCTGTTTTACCAGTTAACATAAGTTATACGTCTACAAATAAATTGGAGTTCTAGAACCTGTGTAGTAAGCTGAATAAAACATGATCCAATAACTCCTCCAAAAAGTTAAAGCCTGCCTGAACAATTTAGAGCTGAACTCCAGCCACACCCCATTTTCTGACGGCAAAGAACAGATAAGATTGGTCACACTTAGGGTTATTAATGACCTATTCAACATGATGGTAGGCCTTTCTTTCCATACACACATCATTATAATCTTACTTTAGTGGGGGGTGTTGGTTTGTTTAAGAATGCTTTAGTTTGTAGCTGTGCTGACTTGGCTGTCCATTCATCAAAAGACATCCAAAGTTATACTCTAGTACTAGGCCAAAGGGGAACATAACTCAGTAAGTCAGCTTCTGTGGAACTGAAGACAGGATGCCTGGTCCTTACCAGTCCCCCCCCCCCTCTCCCGACACACTTCCTTCCTTTAACTCTACTAAAGAACTTGTAGAGAAGAACAAATGCTTTTTGTCTTACAGATTTTCCTGTCATCATTTGGTAAAGCAGTTGTTAGGTGGTCTAAAGAAACATGATCGGTTGTTAAATGCTTATTAAATCTCACATATTAGACTATTGGTTATATAACATCCCAAAATTTGGCATTATTGAGCAATCTGTGAGGAAATTAATGGTTAGACAATCCTAGCTATTACCAAACATAGATCCTGTATCATGTTCATTTTTCTGTCACGCACAATTTCAAAATTGAACCGAATCAGCTTTAAAAAATATGTATGACCATGTTTTAACAGCGCTACTCTGTACTTCAAAGAATGAACAACTAGCAGACGATGAGCACTCTAAATTATTGGGGGGAGAAAAATGATCTCAAGGTCTACTTACCCACTTCTTTTGGCGCTTTCGACCATATCACACACTTTTTATCTGCAGATAGTTTTGCTAATTTGTCATCAGGTTGTAGATGTTCAAATGTGGCCAACGTTGATGAGAAATCCTAGAGGTGTTCAGAACAACAGAAAGTTTGAATATCTACAGTTCAATGGAAACTAAGCAAACTCCATGTGCTGATGAAGACCGTGTGAAATGGGTGAAAGCTCCAGAACAAGCGGCCTATAGGACTGAGAGGAATTGTCAATGTTAGTGCTCAGTAACACCATGACCAGGTGTAAGAGTCTTGATCCAATACATAGCTGACACAAATGGCTAAGAAAAAGTTGCATTCTTTGTCTTTTAAATGCCACTATTTTCAGGATTTGCCCCCCCCCCCTCCCCCAAAGATTCGGTCATTTGTGTCTTTTTTTTCATCACGTTTGTCACCACATACAATTTAGCATAAATTGAGCTCTTTGAGGACTCCACTGTATGTTTTTATTTTATTTATTTATTTTTTTTATGTGTAGGCTGTATTGAGAGTCTGCAATTGTCAGGCAGTCACTAGGCTCATCTGATTGCCTCATCTCTTATCTTTTAAATTGTCATTTCACTTGACTGACACCCCTGTAGTTAGTGGCCTGGAGTATTTAGATTGTTGAGCACCCTTAAAGTATTTATAGTTTCCCTTTACCTTAAAGAAATGGGTTGAGGGAAGAGAAGCCGTCTCCAGGCATTAGCGTTGAATATAAGGCTACTGTACTTGATTAGCGTGTAATAATTAGCATATGCGTGTAATCAGCATTATTGTGCACCTCATAGCCCTGTGTGACCCTGCTTTGCATAATACCACAGAATAAGTGGCGCATCCCTCACTTCTCAACAAACGTGGTGTCAACTTTGCTTTGCTTCTCTCCTTCTCCTTTCTTCAGATTTCTTTAGAAGCATTTTACTCCATCTCCAGCATGTTAAGAGCGTTGGCCACAATGCCTCGGCCTGGAATGCATAGCATGTGCTTTGCTCTTTTTTTTTTTCTATCGCACCTATAATATTTAGATCTACTTTAATTTTATCATCTAACCATGCGACACAGTTTGTTTTTAGAACTCATTCCCTTGTCTCCTGTTCTCATTGCTGTCCCGCTATCCATCTGAAATGGAGAGAGCCCTTGTGGCCACACTGAGAGAGTCTGCCTAATCCCCTCATTGAGAGAAGAGAAGAATGAAACTGGCCAAAGTGTGGGGGAGCTGAAGCATTTATTCTCCATCCTTACCCCCCACCCCCCACCCATGGGAGGGCAAAAAGCTACCCCCTTGCTAGCCTTTACCCCATTGCCCACTTATCCCATTTCACTCCCAGCTGTGTGCAGTCAGTTGCCTAGTTCACAGTGTGGTTTTTGAAGTCCCTGTGATATCTATATATGATTTACTGTATAGTATTGGAGCAAGCTCTCATTCTTTTATAAGATTGTAAAATTGGTCTTGACTCTGTGAAAATCAGCTTATGCCCTTTTTTTTTTGAGTCTTTGTGTCTGAATGTTCGTGAAGTTAAGTCGTGAAACAAGTCGTGTGAAGACTGGATTATCATTTTCTGAAGCCAACTGGTTACAGTGACTGCTAGGCAGGTTACGCGGTCACTTGTTGACAGCCGGGCCTCCATTTTGTGTTCAAAATCAATGGGATCTACTTCTTTCAGTCAGGTTTTTAAAGAGGTGGAAGCTAAGTTTATACTGAAGGGAGGCGGATATCTCATTTTGCCTGAGCAGACTCGTAATGTCCAGGGTCACTTTGAAACAATGGATTTTTGTTCTTATCTAAATCCCTTCGCTTTAAGCGTAGGCTAGTTTCTGAGATGGCTAATAGACCACAGGAAGCTAGTAGGTTTGGTTGTTTTTTCTTTTCTGCCTCTCCATGTGTTTTTCAGGTTCCTAATGGACAGTTATTCTGCAGAGTCCTATCATATCACCGTAATGTTTTTTGGCTGTTGCTGGTTTGAGAGGACCCCCTCAAGCAGCATAGTGTATTTGTTTGGACGCTCAGGGGTTGGAGTTGGTGTGTGTGTGTGTGTGTGGGGGGGTATTATCAAATTTTCTTGTCTTTAGTTGGTTCCCATCTCATCCAGAGAGCACATTCAGGGGAGCGAACTTTGGGATCTCACTTTGTTTATGGATAGGAGTACATAAAAGGCCTCTTATAGCTCTGTCGCGCACTCTCACTCAGTCTTCCACCCCTCCTCTTCTCTACTCCCATAGCCCCTCTTTTTCTCTCTTTCTCTCTCTCTCTCTCTTTCTTTTTCTTTTCCATTTGGGCATTGGGGCGGGGGGCTTTGGTCATTAATAAAATGGGGAGAGATGGGGAGTGGGTGTGTCGGGGGGGGCTTGTCAGGCACAGTCAAGTGTAATCCAAAGTCTACAGCATCCTCTTCGACAACTATTTTAATGGAAATAGGGAACATATTGTATCAAGGCTACCATATCCTACTTGAAATGACAGTATCAAAAGTGGGAGTTGATACTATGGCAACAAAGCAGCTTTTTGCCAGCTAGGCGAGTCGGGGAGAGGGTAGGCTGTCAGGCCGCAGGGGCCGGCAAGCGAGAGAACGAGTGTGAGAGTACATGGAGAGGCGAGAGCAAAAGACCTACAGCCCCAACGCTTTTGTTCCCTGTCTCCCCCCCCCAATTTGGAATATGATGCAATGAGATGGTTTTATGTTGCTATTTTTTATGCTATTATTCTGAAAGGAGAGTATATGGGAGGGGTAAGAAGGGGCCATGGGGGAGGTTTAGGATGCTCACTCTCAAACTTGACTTAATCCATCCTGCTAAAAGCTAATGCATGGTGGCCTTGAACTATTCTCTCAGGAGATGAGTGATCTTTGTCCCCCCTCTCTCTCGCTCTTTCTCTGTCTCACTGTTTTTAAGGGTTCTGCCTCTTTTCAACCCGTTTTCAATGAGCCTATGGTATTGTGTCCCACACATTATGAATCACATGCTCTTCCTATGGAGCGTAGATTGCACCTTGCACACTCATAATGGAAAGTGAAGCCAGGAGGTCTACTTTGAAGGAGGTACATCTAGCTTTATGCTCTTTATTTTTTTATTTTTTAAAGAACAGTGTTTTTTGTCTTTTACACTTGCTTTTAGTACAACCATAGTTCCTTATTTGTGTGTTTATTTGACTTTGAGTTTTTGCTAACTTAGGTTTATTTTACCTTCCTTTCTTTCTTTATCTTTTATTCTGTTCCTTAGTGAAGGTGAGAAAGGAAAAGTGTGCCTTTTTGACAATTAATGAAATGCTAAGACCCGGCTGGGTGTGGGCTGGTCCCATGTCCCAATCACTGCAGGGGCCAGTAAGTTGAGACACCAAGGCCCTAACCTCTAACCAGCCGTGAAGAGAACAGAGGCTAGGGAAACCTGATCTTTGACTCGTCGAGCTCTCACGCAACGCCTCTTTCTGTGTATGTGTGTGAGAGACAGAGAGTGAGTGAGACCTCTCATTTTTCAGTTCTCTTGTTTTCATTCCTCCCCATGTCCTGCAAGGCCAATCTCTTAATCATAGGGTTTGAGAGGGCAACAGGATTGAAAGGCCAGGTGACTTTTCTTTCCTTACACTCTCACTGCTAGCTTCATTGTGCAGAGATGAGTGGGTCCGAGTTCGACTGTGTGTGTACAAACAGGCTAAAATGCCTTGGGTATTATATTTACATTGTTAACTGTGTGACTGGTCAAATCTTTATACTTAACACCTGTGCATACTTCATGCACGTCAGTGTGTGCTTGCGCATGCTTAAGTGTTTTCTGTGTGCACATGATGGGATTAGAGTCACGGCGGTGGCAGATTACCTGTAACTGTGATCTGTTGTGGTGGGGATTAACTTTGCGGCGCTCCATGCTGTGAAGTAACATGACGCAGCAGGGACAGAGCGCGGTGAAGGGAGAGTGGAGTTAATGCTAGAGCACTGCGGTGATAAAGCTAAGATAATCCACTTCTCCTGTGACCTGAGAAAAAGGGAGGAGTGAGGGGCTCATTGACAACTTCACCTGGAGAGAACTTGAAATAAGTGGGAAAGGGACGTTTTCAGGGTTGGTAAGTCACATAAAGACGCAGTGGGAAAGAGGGAGTGGCAGTGAGTTTATAGACACCCATTTCATTATAACCATAGTAAGGAAATACTCCTTTTAATGCAACTATCATCAGAGCCAATGTATTTACCAATGTTATGGTTTTAATCATAGTAAACGACTTTATTATTGTACAGTTTTAAAAATTATATTTTGGATGTCTACAGTCCGGTTTCTGCCTGTGTTTTGATATTTTTGAAAGGTCACAAATAAATGGATACAAAATTGTTTAGAAAAAGAACTGCAACGCTAGTGGCAAAACTCGTGTCATGGGGTGAGAGCAAAACAGCTTTCATGTTACAACTAACACCGAAGTTAGAGGCCTAATTAACCAATAGTCTGAAAACCTTACCAGATTTTGACATCAGGTGGTAACAGGGGATACTTATCAGCTGTTAAATTAAACATCTTTCCAGTGCAAGCCACACCTCATTTTTATTGTATTAGTATTTCTCAGACACAACCCTCCTTTATATGTCACATACAAATGCATGTAGTACTTTCTGTGTCACCTTCAGGTTTTCTCTGCCCCTTTCAATACAGCGGCTCTTTTAGCTGCGTTTTTACCAGCCTTTCCTAGGGGTGGGGGAAAAAATTCTTAGATACCTCACGATTATGTCTCGATGCAGAATAGTCAGTAACCGGAAATCACTGCAGGTTTGGACCGTGTAACAGTAATATGCTGTAGAGTGTAACGTACAGTATGTCATAAAGAAACCAAATTAAATCATATGTTTAAAGTGCTTAATTCCCGCTACAATGGCTTTCACATGTGCAGGATAGTTAGTCTGTTGGGCCTGCCCTTTATAAACGAGCACAAGCTGCAGATCAGGAATTATCAACAAGTCAGCAAGTCTTATGACTTGTGACCAAGGACACAGATCAGACTCTCTCCAATATCTTGTAATCTATCTTGTAATCTGAGCCAATCCTCAATTATTTTTGTCAACTCAAGTAAAATTATTGTACGCTCATTTGCCAGTTTTATTAGGTATGCCTAGCTAATGCAGTATAATACATACAAACAGTCCTGTAACAGATCCTACCTTCATGAAAGGCTATAATGTTCTGTTTTTAGAGAGCTGCTGATTCAGCTTTTTTTATTTATTCATTTTAGAGGAGGTAGTTTTGGGTGGTGCTGTACAGTTCCAACAAAAACTGAACATCCTAAACTTCGTGCCACAAACTGTCAACTGAGTTTAGATTTTGGCCCAGATTCTCTTTTAATGATGTCCCCAGGTAACATTTGTTTTACAGTCAAACATGAAACCGCAGTCATGTCAGTTAACAGGCAGCTCCAGTTGTCAAAGATTTTATCAAATGAGTTTTCATTTTCCCACCAAATATGGGCAGGATCGATAATTTTGAAGACGTATGAGAGGACGGGGCAAAGAGGGAAAGAAGCGGACGCTTGCGTTTTCCCCATTGAAACCTCCATAAGAGGAGCCTCAAGGGCAGAAAATCTGACTTATCGCAAAGCAAGGGAAATAAAGAGGAAAGAGACTGAAAGGCAGAGACCGTGAGAGTGAAAAGGCTACTCCTGCTCTCCCTCCTCCTCAATTAGTCTGCACAGACCAGATGAAGCTCCCAAACCCTCCAGTTTTCCTGCTCTTCCTTTATGACCATGTACACCCACTCCTTTTCTCTTTTGTTCAGCCATTTACTCAGCCTTCTAGTTAACTCTCCATCCCCACTACGGCGCACAGTCACAGTCCTCTGCCCATCGATCAGTCTGCTGCTCACACTGTATTCATGCTGCACCTACTTGCTCAATTGCTTTGTTCCTGTGATTCCTTCCTCTATGCATTCTGACCTTCTGTGAACGTGGCCTACCAATGAAATGCTCATTCACTCTCCCTCGTGTTTGTACATTGTCATGGGATGGCCATGTGCTGTCAGGACTAGTGAAGAGGTTTGGCATTGTGCTGTAATGTGCTGTTTGCTCAATGCTTTTTGTCAATGTCAAAACATCTCTCCTTTTTAATATGAAATTCGCTCTCTCAAGTGCTCATCGACAGCAACTTAGAATTACGCACACATCTGTGCATTGGTGTACAAGAACACACAATAAATGGCAAAACATTTGGAGTGCAGCAGACCTTGGTGAGCAAAACATAAGTGAACTTTTTTTTGCCTGGAGGCCAATTTCAATTTTTCTGTTCAGTTTGATTCAATTTGAAGGGGTCTTTGTTTTTCATTCTTTCTTCTCCTTTAATAAAGTCAGAGTAGATAACACAAGGCTAAGCACAAAACCAATACAATAAAACCTTTCACTGTCTTTTTCCTGAAGTTGGCCTAATCGCTCCCTCCTGTTTTCTAGTGATAATTGTTTAGCTATTTATAGTAATTCCACAGGAAGTGCAAACCCTGATTGGTTGGGAGTTGTCTGTTAACCATCTATAGTGGGGGTCTACATTAACCATTCTGACACTGTTTAAAACCTCATTCAAGGTGTTTTTAAAGCCACAGTACTGAGACATTACTAGTTAAGTCTCCGGAGAAACTAACCTTACTGGTAGTTACACTGATTACATTACCCAAAACAACCTGTCTTTTGGTATAAATGGCATCATGCAGGCCAAGGTGTTCCTGTGAGCCTGACATAAAAGTTAGATTATTTTCTCAATCAGTCGATTCACTGTTTGGTCTATCAAAAGTCAGAAAATAATGCCCTTCACAATTTCCTAAAGTCGAAGGTTATCTCTTAAATTTTGTGTGTGAAACACATTCAGCAAATATTCACCATTGAGAAGGTTGAAGCAATTGTTTGGCATTTTTGACTGAAATAGTTTCTGATCCATTTTGTTCAGTTGTTTCATCTCTGAGTAGAAGTATCAATTATTTTATTATATTGGCACGCCTCATTAACTACATGCCTCGCTTGCATTAAAGAGCCATCATTTGTCAAGAAATTATTGCAAAACAGTGTGGCAAGAGAGCAACCGTTCACTATATACATATAGTTAGAGCTGAATCAGTTAAAAAAAATCAGTTGACTAATTGATTGTGTAATTGTGTCATTTATCAAGCAAAACTGCCAAAACATTTTCTGGTTGTTTTTCAAACACAAGCATTATGAATGAAACATATTTGGGTTTTAGAGACAAAACTATTAAAGACGTCAACTGGGGCTCTTGGAAATTGTGGCAGACACCATTTTCTGATGTTTTACTGATGAAACAATGAATAGAAAAAAAATAATGGCTAGTAAATCTATAAGGAAAACAGTGTTTCCCACAGGATTTTAAGAGACTATGGTGGGTGGGCCTCGGACCCTCTCGGGGGTCCCCCCAGAATTTGTTTTTGTACATTTTAAAGTTAAATGTATTAATTTTGTGCAAAATTAAGAGGCTATCTATGAAGAACTTTGCACTCTTGTCAACAATGTTGTGCTCTAGGAAACTATTTGATCATAAACCATTTTATAGCTAGAAATGGTGATGAAATGGCAACAAAAGTCAACAAATTAATTTAATGTTTTCTTCTTCTTGAAAACCGGGCATTGTCGCGTGTATCCTTGCTCTATATTCATCAAGTCTGACCCAATCTGATAAATTCTGTTGTATATGGTTCTCATATTGCATAACACGAAGACTCTATAGCCTCTCTTCAGGTAGGACTCTCATACTGCAACACTTGTTACCACAACGCTAGTTACCTCAAAATAAAAGTGGTTGTCTTGAGTCAGATGCCAAAGTATGTGAGCGTGCAAGCTTACAGCAGCACCCACAAAATACAACTTTAGAAGTCTGAAATGTTATAAGATGTGTAAAAATATTTTTTGGTTTATTTTAAAACTATGGCAGAGCAAATTAGGCTGTGGCGGGCCACCAAGGTCTTGTTAATTAATGGGAAACACTGGGAAAATATTAAATAGAAGCACTACATACAATAAATGAAGTAGTAAATGAAGGCAACACTTAAAAGTGACACTTGTGTCCGTTTGCTGCCCGTGTGTCCACAGACCAACCTACCCATCTTCAAGCTGAAGGAGTCCTGTGTACGGAGGCGGTACAGCGACTTTGAGTGGCTCAGAGCGGAGCTGGAGAGGGAAAGCAAGGTGAGCCATTGAGGTGAACTCAACACAAAGGCTCTTGAGTACTTGGCGTATCAAATCTGCATGTACAGCATTGACCACATATGCAGTATTTTTGTATAGAACAGAGAGTTCTTAAAATATTTTATGAAGCTTTGCAGTTTGTAAATGAAGATGCGACCTAAATGTGGTCTGTGTTCTTTGTCCTGCTATTAATGAGGAACATAACATAGCTCGCTTTTAGCCTCAGAAGTCAATGTAAAAATTCTGCTCTTTGTAGTCACTATAAGATGATTTTAAAAATGCTTTACTCTCTTAATTAATAAATCATTTATGCCTGTTTAACTGCTGCTATATTGTCTTTCTGTGGGTGCTCTTTTATCTCAGGTGGTCGTCCCACCTCTCCCAGGAAAAGCTTTTATCCGGCAGCTTCCGTTTCGAGGGGATGATGGGATATTTGATGACTCTTTCATCGAGGAGCGGAGACAGGGTCTGGAGCAGTTTCTCAACAAGTAAGCCTTTCCACATCTTCTTCGTCCTTCGCTGTTCTTCCGCTACTTCGTGGTGAGGTGAAAACAATTCATTCTTTACAATTTTGTGTTTGTAGTTGCAGTCGTTTGCAGCTCCTACCTTAGCAAGGAATTATTTTAACTGTTAAGAACAATGAAACACTTTGTGCAATAAGTAGATTCAACTTTTTCACTTCTCTTCATATTGTTAACAAACTGAACCTGCAGAGACAAACAGGTCTTTTTCACACTATCCCTCTTAATTCTCTTTTATAATTACCTCGCAAAGGACAAGAACAACCAGAGAGGACTCGAGCGCAACATAATTTTTCCCACATTTGTTTTATTGTTGATGTGTAATTTATGATAATTGCAGCTCAAATTACAGCGCGTGGTTCTGTGGGATGGTGTGTGTACCTCTGCTTATTTTTGATCCAGCATGTCCCCATTTTCAGCTGCAGAACAATAAAAGTTACAGTGTGATTGTAATTATTTGCTTTGATTGCAGACTTGGCCATTATCTTTGTTTCATGTGCAAATGCATCAATGTTTCCTGTTGGAATATTAAGTGTGCAAAGACAGTTGAGAAAATTAAAATCCATATATATATATATATATATATATATATTATATATATTATTATTTTTTTTTTTTTTAAAGAAGATGAGAATGTGTTGGTAATTAAGATTTTTCTCCCCCCATTGCTTCCTATGAATGAAGCACTGCTGTTGATCATATCATTGTTCAGACTTAATACTGGCCGATGTGGCGGGGTGCATTGTTTCATCTGTGATTGAGTGCATTGTGAAGAGGAAATCTTTCGGAATGGTAAACATGATTGTTGCTGTGAAACAAGTGAGAAGGAGGAGAGGAGATAACATCACTTTTTGATTAGGCTAGTCAAACATAATTCATGGTTCAGGTAAAAAAGATAGGCTACATACCCACTTCAAAAAGCAGGCAAGGCCTTGAGATTGCAACATGCTTGTGCTGCACCTTGTCCTCAATGTCAACATTTCCAAAAACCTATTAAACAGCATTTGTTGGAGGCAAGCTTGATTGCACAGTGATCGGTATTTGACCTGTGCGTGCTGAGTGCCTCCCCCCCAGGCAGCTTAATTTGTCCAAAATATTTCCCATTAGAGGTTAAGATGCATGCATATGTACAATGTCATCATGTTGATTTGTTCTGAGAAAGTTACCATTTGAAAAATTAGATCTTTTAGGGTCTCAGGTGCGCTGGCTCATTCTCATTAAGCTCCTTTACGTCATGTGAAGGGACATTCAGGGAAGCCTGATGTCAAAGTGGCTTTAACAGAGCTAAACACATCTTCAAACATACAGTATTTTGTGGATGTAGTGATAACCTACAGCTGAAATGAAGGTGATATAAAGTACAGATTAATTCAAGTTAATCATACCACAATATAAATATAGATATTGGGGAACAGCCCAGTTACAAAAGTAAACCTCATTTACTTTAACTTATGTTGTGTAACAGAAGTTCCCCACTTGCTCCTGAATGTGACTTCAAATGGTAGTTTGTCGTCTTTGACTACTTTACTGGTTGTTGAAACTCTTACAGAAGCTCCTGTGAATCTTTTATTCTTGATGCGTCTTTCCCCTCCACAAGTTTTTATTGACACTTGCTTTTTTATAGTTTGGAGATGAGAGAAAACTTTACAGTAATAAAAGCTTGTGGCCACACGTCCACATCCATAAACCAGTGTGTGTAAGAGTTATATTAAATGCACAGTAGTCATGTGGCTGATGTAAATAGCTGATTGCTGTATGTGACATCTACAGTTGTCTCTGGGCTGCTAGTCAGTATATATGGTGAAGGTTTTCAAAATGTCAGTAAGCCTCTTCATCAATGACAAACAGGCATCCCTTTTTGCAGAGATTGTTAAACAATGTGTCCCATATCCATACCCTATACTATATTGTATACAAGCAGGTTTTGAGTATGTTATGTCTTCGCACTGGAAAAGTGACTAAATAACATATACTCTGAACAAGTCAGTATACTAAAAGAAAACAGATGTATTTCACAGTTTGTGCCTTTTTTATTATAGAAACAGAAGAGAGATGATATGTAACATGGGACGTTGCAGTTCACAGTTGGCACTTTAAACACAGGATAGCATAAACCCTTTTATTTCTGAGTGTGCTGTTGTTAGACACTATTCCACAATAATGCTTCGCACAGTGGAAATTGAGAAATTTGAAGGTAATTGTGGATGTTGGTGAAACGGCTCCTGGAGCCTCCAGAAAATAAATATAACTTTTTGGGAAAACATTTGGCAGTGGCATATTAGAGTCACAGTTTGAGTATTGTCATTTCCTTTTGTAAAAGTATGTTCATTTATTGTACATGAACTGCAAAAACAGTATGCTATGATAAGTATAAAGTCCATACTATAAATAACTATAGAGTTGGCACACTGTATATGTCTATACTGTCGGTTAATAAATAAAGGCAAACATAAACAAAATAAATGCTAATTATCTACACAATAGGCTACAGTTTCTATCTTTTGGGCGTGAATATTAAAGAGCATCATGTTTTACGTAATTGATACATTGACAGATGACACTGGGCATGAATTAAGAACTTGTATCAGAGCAACATGTTAGGTGAATTTGTACTGTCATGATATGAAACATTGGGAGATGTTTGGGGTGGTGGTTTAACTCTGTAGCCTTTGGTTAGCAAATCAGTGAAAGGACATCCATTCAAACATCAAGGAACTAAATATCTTAACTTAAACCTGTAGAATGACACTTCTGTTTTTACTGCTTTCCTTTTCTTTTTGTAACTTTTTGAATCTCCTGTATAAACACGTATAGAGGTGGCAACTTTTACGTTAACACAAAAAGGTGAAACTGTTAAATGACCCCTTGCCTCACTTCCACCACATTACAAGTGATTCCTTGACTTGTTTGTATTTTTCCAATTTGGTCATCAATGCTAAATCTTTTCCCAGGTTTCTTAAAGTAAGTGCAATGCTCCTGCCAACCTCTGTGTGTTCTCGTGTCCACTTCATCAAGCGTTGTCTTTTGCTTTTTGTCTGTTTCAGAGTGGCAGGCCACCCACTAGCTCAGAACGAACGATGCCTGCACATGTTTTTACAGGACGAGTCTGTGGACAAGAGCTACACCCCATCCAAAATAAGACAAGCCTGAATAAAAGGATGGCTCTGCTTGGCCAGGTCTGGCTCGGCCCTGCTCAGCCCAGCGTGGCCCAACAACCCAAAGCTCTCTTCACTACTACAGGTTTCTCTCAGACAATAAACATTTCAATGTCAACTTCCCCTCCCACCCAAAGTAATATTGTTCACTGCTTCTTTTCGTTTAATTAGTGACCCTGATCGGTGTTTGTTTTCACTTTCTAATTGGAGAATGTTCGACACATAACTGTGGTTGAAAGTTATTTATAGTAATTTCTCTTTGTCTGGAAATGCCACTAACATGGATATATTATGTATTTATCATTTAGCTATGTCTTGAGTATATTCATTTATATAGTAACATTGAATGAGCGTTCTATGTATGCAAAGCTCTTGTAAAGACCCACAGGGTTTCCCATTATATAAATATCCTTTACTGGCATGTTGCTCACCATAACTAAGCACACATACACACACATACACTTATATATGTACACACACACTGTATATTTGATGGGCCTTGACTTTCAAATCACACTTGGTTGATCCTGTCTTCAAAAGGAAGCGTGTGTGTGTGTGTGTGTGTGTGTGTGTGTGTGAGAGAGTGTGTGAGAGAGAATATCAACCAGCACTTGCCCAGTTATCACAATGATTTTCTAGCAAGAAAAAAGTAATTTACACAGAGGGAACTACAGTATTTCTACTGGCTATATGCATTTTGAGATTTGTATACTGCTGTGCCATTTTTGTTTATTTTGAAGATTTTCCAATAAAATAGGTGAAATGTCTCCGAGCATTATTACATTTGTTGATTTTGGACTCTTGACCTGTCTAATGCTCAACATGGGATAGTCAACTACTGCAAGCTGCCCACAACCATTCCAAATATCACAAATTTACTGTTCAATAAATACATATTCTGTCATCTTCATTACAAATACGATTAGGCTGTTGGCTAATTACAGAGTTTATTAAAACAGTCCTGAGTTTTTATTTAGAATAGAGTAGGTGCCTTCTAAAGGGAAATCAGTAACACTTTATAATAAGGGTAAAAAATGCATACTTAATAATGCATAAACAACGTATGAATTGTGATCATGTAATGCATGAATTAATGTATCGGTATGATCAAGTCACTGTGGGTTTATGTAATTAGCTAACGGTTTATAGATCATCAACAAATTGTTGTTAATTTGCAGTTTGTTCATACATGAATTTTTATGACACCAAATGAACTGAGTCCAGTTACTTAGAAAATGGCATTTCTGATCTATGCAGCTGATCAGCCCCTCTAGAAGCAGAGCAGCAGCTTATTATACTTGTACTTTTAATGAATTTACATTAACTAATCATTTCAAAATTAGTATCACAACATGAGTTTACATAAAGGGACACATGTCAACCAGGCGATTTGTTAGATATGGTAATGTTTCGTGAGTAAGTAATGATAAACGCTTAATGTATCTTAGTTACACTCAGTAGTCACTTTATTTGATAGGCCTGTGGCCATTCTGTTAGCTTAAACATGTCTGGCCATTATAATGTTTTAAACGTGTGTCCCCAAATCCTGTAAATGTGACATACCAGTTTGATAAAAACAGCTTTATATTTTTATGAAAAACTGTGTTCTGCTTTCAGAGAGTCTGCACAAATGCATAGCTCTGAAAGTTTTTTTTATGTTACTGGATCCAGCTAATATGGTGTCATACACATTAATATATCTACTAATTTTAAAAGAACAATCATAAATTAATGATCCATGAAACCATAACAAATAACACAAACTCATAGTCAGGATCATGTCTTAATGGTGAGGAACAGGAGTTCATGATATTTTCCACATTAAATCATCATGAAGCTTACATTGGTTATTAATTACTTAAGCACGTGTTTTGTACTGTTATAAAGTGTTACTGGGAAATCTTGAAATTGTACTTTACATTTACAGCAAAATTAGATGTGCGTTTGCAATGATGTTTAGTATAAGCAAGTTTCATAACCGCAGCTGCTAGTTTTATAACTAGGTTATTTGAAAACCGTTTAATTCTGTGTCTTTTATTCTCTTGGTTACAACTCTAAATAGTTATAACTCCAAATATATAACATCACAGCCCCACAAAAACATTTCCAAGTGCTGAATATTATTTTATCCAGTGTTAGTGTCTAACTTCACAAAGTTGACCTAAACATTTTTAATGCCGCGCCTTATATAGGACACACAGACACAAACAGGACAGTAACCACTTAAATACAAATGCCATCTTCAGATGAATGTAGTTTTACAGTCAGGAGGCAATGCAAGCATATCCTTTAAAAGCCCTCCCACCCCCTTCCCAATTCTTCATAGTGTTGACGCCTCTTCTTCATTGCCCCGTGCGTTTGGTTTCAGCACCAGATCGAGGGACAGCGATTCTCATCCCCCCCATTATGCATGCATCATCTTTTTTTGGTTTCCTCCACTGGGATTGAACACAGCAATAAAAGACTGAATTGGTCGTCAAGCTCATTGGTCTCATAGACACTCGAAAAAAACTTCTAAATATATAACATTTCTTCGTCAGACACACTCGGCAGGTGCTTTACAGAGTCTTTAGGCAATTTTTAAACATTGTAGGCTGTCTGCGCCCACACCAGAGATTGCAGTATCTTACAGGTAATTCTATAATGAAAGTTACATGCTAATCCTTAACTAGAGCAACTGTTAACAGGATACTTGGTGAAGTCTGGCTGTTTTGCAGTCTTTGTTTCAGTGGAGCCTAGGCCTAAAGAGATTTTGTACTCAGCAGAAATTCAGCCCATGGTTACACCTGCTGTGATTTGACATTCTGTCTGAGTCTCTAGGTCTTCAGCTCAAGTCTTTTCCGTGCGCCTGGACAGATGGCAGGAATTCATATATCGCTGGACTTGTACATGTCGGAGAGGAGCCTGGTGATGGGCACGTTGCCGATGGTCTTCTTGAAGAATACCTCCTCTATGGTGGACGGGTTGACCGAGCGGAGCGCTGGCAGGAGCAGGAGCAACTTCCCGAAGCGACAGGGCTGAGTCGGGTACCTGAAACACATTGCTGGAGGTCAAAAACGGACACCTTTCTCTGGTTTTATGTGCAGACTGTCTGACGCAGCCTATCCAATTAACGCACACCTGGGACAAATAGCTGCTAATTAAAAGTGAGGTTCAGCTGTCGCATCTGTGCACAATTATAGGAGACTACAGTTGCTTATTGCCTCATTAACTTTATAATGAATCTGGCTGCTAATAGTTATCAGCAGGAGACGGCGCATGTGTAAAGATGCATGAGCTTAAGATAGATAGACTAACTGACTGATTTAGTTGGATCTTACCTGGTGTGTATGTAACTGTTGAGAGTGAGCTGTGCCTCGTCTTGTAGTGCAGCGATGGCGCTGGCGTTGCGGAAATTTCTTAACTCAGTGTTGCCATGTGTGGGAACTGTAAGACAGAGGCAGGGTTTTAACTATTGAAAAAGGTGTTATAATACATAAATAATGACGCACTAAAATAACTTTTGCTTTATTCCCCTTCCCTCTCCAGATTTTGGTTGAAGCAGCAGAGAAGCTTCAAATAATTCTTTCCGGTAAACGTAATACCCAGTGAGAAAAGGGTACTGACCGGCTTTGAATGTCACAATGCATTTCAAACAGGCAAACTCTGTTGCATCAAGACGCATCTGTCTGAATCTGGTGACCACCTCCTGAAGTGCTTGTATCTCAGACATGACTTTATTCATCCGCTGAGACTCTGTGTTTTCAGTGTTCATTCCTATGAAGAAAAAGGTGAAATTGTCATAATGCAGGATAACACTACAGCAGCTTGCACTTGTGAGGCCTGTCAGTGGCCTGTATTCAGATGAGCTCTCTTGTGCCTTGTACATACCAGAAACGGCAAGAAGAGTAGAGGAGTCCACAGGAATGGCCCACTGCGCGATGCCCAGAACAAATAACTCCCTCCAAGCATCCTCCAACAGAATCAGCTGCAAAGAGGAATTGTTTCTGTTAAACTGTGTACACAATGAAGCAAAAATTTATTCTATTTTTAGCCTTTTTGAATCTTATTAAGTACCAGTACAATAATAACTCTTTGCATAAAACATGATAGACATTGTTTGCACTCGGGGGAGTTCATTTGGTAAGGCTTTCAGGTTATAGCTTCTAACGTCATCTTTTAAACTGGAATTATATCAAGTAAAATATGTTTATGTCAGTTTTGGACCAAATCAACTTCTGACAGTTTTCAGTTAAAAGGGCCCTACAGGACAGTATTTGGACTCTTTGTTTAAAACTCGTCACTAAAGTTCTCCCTCAAACCAAGTACCTGGTCAGATAAGGGGAGCGTGGAGAATGCGGGAACACTTTTTGCCCACTTGATGCTCATGAAAAGGAGGCGCGCCGCAGACTCGCACACAGACTCTGTCGCCACCTCGTAGAGGTACATGGGGGTGCCGCTGACTTCATGGGGATACTGGAGGAAGTGAAAGAGATCATCATCACTATCACCATCATGTATCAGCTTGTGGTAATAATGAAACACAGTTCACAGAATGGTGAACAACAAAGGACAAATTCCAAGCTCCAGCACCTGCTTTTATAATTATTAGTGTGGTTTGTGGTGGATTTACAGTTGGAAATCTAATAGGCAGATTTGTGGCTCTTACAGGCTGCTAAATCGGGGCAAGAATTTCAACTTCTAACCCTTATGAAAAAACTGTAATCCTATAATAACATTTGGGAAGTCCATAATACAAATAATAAACTATTAAGGAATTGAATGTTCTGATAATTCTACATGACATGACACAAATGACATAAAATGCTATAAATAGCAGATGCAAACTTTAAAGAAAGCATTGTGTGTGTATACACACACACCACACACACACAAGCACAATATGCTTTATGTATATTACATACATATATATATATATATATATATATATATATATATTATATATATATATATATATAGTACAGAGATTTACTTGGAGGTGAAAAACATCTTATAAAGAACTCATAATAAATCAGTTGTTTATAAGACATCCCAAAATGTACCTTAGGGGTGGGCTGTGCCAGACCCACGATGGCCTGTCTTTCCGGTGTGGTGGCTACCGCGCTCATGTCAAGGTTATGAGGCTCCAGTTGCGTGACCGTGGTGAAAAAGGGCGGGCCGGGCAGAGAGGATCCCGGGAAATGGGTTGATGAACCGTTCACCTCTTTGTGGCCCCGGAAATATAAAGCGACTTGTTTGCGGATGGTGGACGTCCGGGGCCCCCTCTCGTGTTGAACAGCTGTGAAACGGGACAGCAGGGACACAGAGTAAAGGAATGATCTCTGCAGGAGTGAGTGGCTTATTTATCTAATTTGTTTATTGCTGTTGAATAACTGTTCCTACAATTAAGGACTCAAAGTGCAAATTTTGTGTGAAAGAAAAAATAATTAACTCTAATGAGCTGTAGGATAATCTAATAATGCGCTAGCAGAGTATAAATAATACCCACTCTACAATAAGAGTATGTAATTCTCAACCTGTTACTTCTTTTGAGCCTTGATGAACAGCCTTAATACTTTTCCATCAGAGGAGCCCACCTCGAATCGAAACGCCACCGCATGGCATGTCTATAGCTAAAGTGATAACTCAATTAAAGGCCATTTACCGTCTTTATTCATGTTCACTTCCAGACACTTTTTCAAACGGCACGCTCGGCACTGGTTTCTGTGAGTTTTGTCGACGGGACATCCACCCTGTACAGAGAAAAATAGAGTTACACCTTCAATTGAATTTCTCTCCGCTATCATCTTCGTGGGAGGCCAGTCACCAGGTGAAAGATCGCACTATTATCTTGTAGTTATCGACCTGCTCCCCCGCGGGTCTAGTGCGGCCTCATCCTAGAGGATAAATACACCATCCCGCCCTCTGCTGCCTAAATCCTCGCCTTAGAGCCATCACATTAGATTGGATTACACCTGGTATATTATAGCAGAGCGGTGTTTAGCCAAATACTTAATGGTGGATGCATGACACTATTAGGCTAATGAAGGGAGACTTAATACAGCGAAAGAGAGGGAAAACAAATCGAATCTGCCCGTAAAATGCGCATTTCCTGCATAAAGCTGCTTTGGACATGCGCAGTTACTGCAGCTTGTTGATAAGATATTGGAGTGAACGTGACAGATTATTAGGCACACGTGACTATGAATGGGTAGGCATCCCATTACAGTTTGCTTAATTCGGTACAAATATTTGTGCAAAAATGTATTCATATGTAACTTATAGAGGTTGCCCCTCTGCCAAGCAAATTCATGCCTGTGTGAAAAGGAGAATAAAACGAGGATATATAAGAAATAAGGAGGAGGCCTCACCTGAGAGCCAGATTTACAGACGTAGGTCCTGTTTCTGCGGATGCTCCTCTTGAAGAATCCTGAGCAGCCGTCACAGGCGTAAACACCATAGTGTTTACCTGAGCTGCGGTCGCCACACACTTTGCATGGGATGTCCAGAATCCGACCTGAGAAAGGCCCAAATTTCAGTTAGGCCCTACATAACATGCACTTAATTATCAAGCACTGGGAGGCGTTCGGCTTAATTTTAAATGGATAAAACGTCCTCTCTAATTGTGACTTTAATCATATAGGCCTACTATTGTCGTGAACATTGAAAATCTGGATAAATTGCCAGGACACAAAACTTGAGAAAACCGTTTCTTTACTGTTGTTTTGCAGTTTAGTTTTGTAATTTGGTAAAGTGAGTTTCAGGTCAGCTGCTTGAATCGGCACTGTGGACATACAGTAAATGCCCAAAATGTACTCCGCTGATCTATGGACAAATCGCCCTACAAATTACTTCTTTTTGTCCGACCCCCCCCCCCCCCCCCCCCCATATACCCACTCACTGGACAGCGCCCCGCATCTCGTCTGAGCATGGGAATTCACGGCGCACATTTCTAGAATAAAGTCCGGTGGGAAGCGTCATATCTGAGCTCTCTAAGACAATGGCCTGAGGGCGCACAATGGAGACATTAGGGGAAAGTGTTAACTTAATGATTTTCCCCCATTGAACCTCGTCTGACTGCCTGGATCTCGACAAGCTGCCAACTCCCCTTCATAATGGGACTCGACAGCTGCTTTATCCCGCAGGTCTATAGGCCCCAGGATTAGGGAGTGACACTGCACCATGAGAATAATACGCACCAACTCGTTTCACCAACTCAAATGAAGTGTATGTAAATCGACCCCGGTGTAGATGAAAATTTAGATTTTTTTTATGTGACGATTTTGTATTCAAACCTATAGAAGTATATTTGTATGCACACGAGGGAGTTTCTTTTTTCATTCTGGAGGGAAAAGCCGTCTATGTAATTACTCTGACGTTTTGCCACCTGCTCATTGATTCACCAGTGACCCGTCAAAAAGGGTAGCATGGGAATAACCACTCAACAGCAAAAACAACGACTTCAGTAGAGAGTTATAGGGCTTCAATTGCCAGATTATTAAGAATCAGAAGGCCGTGTAGGCTATTTAACTGTTGGCCACAGCCGTGTAATTACCATAAGATGGAGAGAGCCAACTTTTTATGTAGCATGTATGCCTGGTGAGAGTTTAAGTCAGTGTTGGCCTGTTAAAAGTCAGCTTTTCATCATGGGAGAAATAAAAAAAATAGTAGGCTATAACAGATTATATATGTAGTTTAGTCTATAAGCCAGGTAGAATCTATATATTTTTAAACTAAAAAAACAAATCTTAAATGTAGGCCTACGCTTTCTGATTAACAGATATTTAATAAACCAACGTTAAGCAGGTCAAGTTCATCTGCGCACTAAAAATGTAAACTTAAATTAAACATAAATGAAAAATGCGCAATATTTCATAATATTTAAAAGATGAGCTCAAACAAATATCAAACTGTAGATTGCTTAGAGCCAATTAAATAAAATTACGCACAATTTAATTTTGAAGGGTGGAAATGTATTTAACTTCCCGCTGTGGGGGTCCAATTCCTCTCTATTGTGTGCAGTAATTGCTTGAAGATATATGGCATATTCTATTAACGTAATCACCATCAAGGCGAAAACCTGGTAAAAGAACTGGAAATTAAGTTTTACTGAGTGCAGGATATGTCTCCATTGACCACCCATAACGTGGGTATGAACTTGAATGACAGTGGTTGTAATGTTGTAGTGGGCACTGCTTATTTTTAATTTACATGTTTTGCTTATCTACAGCATTTTAAATACATTTGAGTAGGCCTACTTGAGGATAAAACATCAGCAGCAACGGTTTCACACGAATAAAGCTTATTTGGTGATGTCAAACGATACTGAAAAAAACAGGCAGGCACACGTAAATGTAACCCGAAATCTCCCATCTTTTGAAAAAGAAAAATAGCCTGCTGTAGGCCTATATTAAAATCCAAGTGGGATTTCATATGATTTCATTATAACAGAGGAATAATTACAAAGGTTACGAAAAAAAAAGGCATCCATTCCAATTTAATCTAAAACCTTAAACTACAAGAAGATCTTCTGTACCACGAGAAAAATACTCAACAATTTAATTTTAATCACTGAATACATTCATTATTAATTATTTAGGCTAAATGAAGTATTTTTTATAGTAGTAGGCTACAGAAGCGCGCGCATGACATGAAGATAAGCGCTGTTTATTCATTTGTCAAAAGAGCAAACAAGTACAGTAGCCTAATGTAAGAGAAGGATGCATCTTAAACTTTAAAATCATATCTGTGATTAAATATCTCTCTGTTTATAGCATTATTACTCTTTTAAAGTCATTGCTGAAAATGAAATTACAGGCAACAAGTGGCATCAAGTGGGACGCAGGAGGCGTATTCGGAGCATCCATACAGAATATTATTTCTTTACCTCCCAACTTTACAAAAAGGTTTCTTAAGAGACGTCTTTCCAATCAGGCTGAGGGCGCTTTACTTGATCAGTCATGGACACAGAGTTGACGCATCCAACCGTGTGTGTAGGCTCGGAAAAAGACACGGACGACAGCTATTTCTTACGGATAACTAGTCGCGTTTAACACCAGGAATGAACTGACTTAATTATCTCCTACTGGAGTGAAGCTCCGATGACATGAGAAATATCAAGTCGATTAAGTAACTGGGCCGCCAATGCACAGCAGGTTTATTCTAACTTTAACTTTTTACACTCCGTGACAGAGAAAGGCCTGTTATAGACTTCTTGTTCTAACACACTGGGCTGCTCAATATTCTCCAGAGGCATCTGGGAAGAGAAAGGCGGCACTTACTTGATTTGACATTCAGGATATCCAGACAACCACTTGTTGAGCCGGCGGGTTTGCTCATCATGAATAGTCGACTTTATGATAAAGTTCACAATAAAAAAACAAAAAGTCCACTTTCTCTTCTTATTCTTGCTGACAGAAACAATACAGTTCGTGAAACAGCAGCACCTTCGTTCAAGGCTTTTCCTGGAGCGAAGAGATCGGCCGGTCAGTATCCCGAGTTGCCCAACTTGACAGAGAGTAGATCTCCGATCGACGACCCCAAATTAAGACACGCGATTGTACATTGTGTCAGACAATCTTCGCCTCAGATATGCAGGGTCCCTGTAGGCTACTGGCGGAGAACTGGACTGCAGCCCCGGGACAGCGACCGGTTAACGGCGACAGCAGCCCTCCAACCGGTGCATAAAGTTGGAGTAATAAAAACGCTGCCTGTAGCGCATCCGAAGGCGCAACACCGGTTGGGGAAAAATTTGAATAATCAATTTTCGAATATTCTGACAGGTGAAAGCTTGTTAAACCACGACACGATGTGACTTTCTGGTGCGAGCTCCTCAAATAAGCCTTGGTAATATTTGTGAGAAGTGTCAGGGGGAGGCTGGAGGGTGGAGATCTCCACTTCCTTCATCCACTTGGCTTTCTACTCCAAACTCCAGCCTGACGTCACTATCGTGTGAGGCAGCGTGTGTGTGTGTGTGTGTGTGCAAGTGATGTGAAGTGCCTTGCTCATGGATCAAGAGGCATTGCAGACACGCACAAAAAACAAACACGTGTTGCATACATGTTTTCTGCAGCGTTTCAATTAATTTTAGCTCTAGATTCAATGATTTAGGCAACATTTCACATTTCAAGGGTAATCCCACTGAAGACACTGATCAGTCAGAACAACTGTCAAACAGCGGAGTTAGACATTGTGCGTATTATCTTACAGACGTATTAATGATGTGTTGGCTATTTACTATATTATCACAGATTAGAAATACCAAAGAATGCCAAAGAGATTGCAAGCAGCATCCACAGTAGTAGGCTATCTGATTTTAAAGTAATCTTGAGCCTCATTGATCCCAGTCAACCTGTTGCAGGTGTTTTTATAGGATTGTTTACTAGTGTCTATTCAAAGGATTAGCCATCGATTGATTAATGTGGTCTGTCTGAGGTTCTGAGGTTAGAGGTCGTTATCTGGACAGTAATATAAAGAGGTACAGCGGTATTTGGCGAAAATTTAAAGTGATGACTCGCACTCTCACCCCTTCTGCCTTTTTAACTTAAAACATATAGGCTAACAAAGCTCTTTAAATAAATATAACAAATGAATGAACAGATTAACATATCTAAAATAAAATATTTCAGTATTTCTTGTTGCTTCCCCCCGGTAGTTCTTACATTATCACGCTCTTTATTATTGTTCTTCCATTAGTCTTCTTTCCTGTAGTTAGGCTACTGTGACAAATATAATAAAACCATACAATAACATCATGTCTTAATTGTCCAGAAAATTCACCTCAGTAGCCTAATAAGTAATAATAATGATAATAATTTGATACGGTATTTATTTTTCTCCCTTATGCGTCACTGCCTTCAAATAAGGCTAGTTAATTAATTTACTAACTAAGTGGCTAAAGTGGTGTAATGTTATCAACAGGTTACGCACCTCCCATCGCCCCCTGCAGTCAGTGATCGGATTTTGGACACCAGGGTGCAAACCTTGCTCGGTTGTCCGGAGGGTCGGGCTGCAGGGCCTGCTCACTGACACCCTAACTTAGACGGCTTGCTGGGTAACTCCAGAAATCCATATTCTTTCTTTTCGTTTCTTTTCTTTTAATTGTGTTCATTCCCACGGTACACTGAAGGCCATATGGACTCACAAAGTGTCGATTTAAGCGGACAGGCGCGAGGCGGAGAGGCGTAGTTAATTGCAATCAGCCATTGTTGTGTCTTTCAACCTGCCCTTTAGCTGAACAGCCAAAGCTGGAAACTAACAAGCCTGAGGATAAATCGCTATAATATTCCTTTGATTTCCCTGCAGGGACATTCAGAAAGCCCGAGGTCCTCAATAGAAGTGTATAGCCACATATTGTGTTTTTTTTTTATCTCACATAAATGGTCCACATTATAAAGGCTACAATGCACTTTTATTATGGGGACCGTTTTCCCAACTTCCCAAATTTATTTTAGTATTAAAAGTCTGTCACGTGTAACGACCACTTGTCTTATTTTAGTGTAGCCTAATTTACGAAATGAAACAGTGGACCCGCCAAATCAGAATCAACGTTTCCACTGAAAATCACGTTGCCCTTCTCACAGATCAATAATATTTTCAGTAATTTCTGAGTGCGCGCGTGTGCGTGGTGTGTGTTTGCGCATGTGTGTGGGTGGCTGTCGTGCGGGTGAATGGTGAATGTGTGACATAATCTCCTTAACTCGTCCTAATCCTCGTCATTCACTGATAGCCTTTACACAAATATAACCAACATCATGGTTGCCGGGGTTGCCTTCTTTCACTTTTTTTTGTATTAGTGACTCTCTTCTCCTCCAACAGTCAATGAAATGTCCTTAACAAAGGGGCCAGTGGATTGTGTATCTGTTTTATGGGTAGCTCAGCATCAGTATGCGGATACTTGACATACTATAGGATTGCCTTTAACAAGGAGAAACGAGTGAGAGTCCAACAGAAGTCACTACTAAACAATATGCCTGTGTGTGAATATCCTGACACCCTTTATCGTTTTTGAACAATGATAAAACACCTGTTAAGGATAGCCTATTGTCCTAGACTCTAGATTTACATAGCCTACCTGTTAATTTGTTTTTTTTTTCACAATTCCAAAGTAGGCTATATATCTGATGTTAGGCTATTCTTAGACTGAGGGCCACAGTTTAAGCATGTTTTTATACACTGCTATCACTGTGCAGGCCCCTAACTGACCAGGCGTAAACCAATTGGCTTTAGGGAGAAGTCACAAAGCTCCGGAGAGCAAATAATGGGGAGAATTCAAGCTGACCAACGACCCACACAGCTTCGCATCTTTTCAAAACTGTCCGGAGAGATCATAGTCAGTGATCTTAGATCTTAGCCCACAGACCCTGCTGGTGTTTAGCGCAGGAGATGATTGACGCAACACTGAGGGATTCATTCCGTCTACTTGTTTTGTTTGGACAGACAGTCAGAAAATGTCTTTTAATGTCATAAAAGGCTTGTTATGAGACATCTCTCCTACATCATATTAATACCCGATAGTGTCAAATAGGCTATGCAAAAACTTTCCAAATAAGTGAAAATATGCAGCTGGATTTCAGCACCACGGACAGTTCTACAACAGGAGTCACTAAATAGATGCACCTGTCTACGTGCTTATTCCAAATTTAAAGCGGCCTGACTTCTTGATTTATATGTCATCATATATATTTAATTATATAAAATTATATTTAATTTTTTTTAATGATTCAAAATGTAAAGTATAGGCTTACTGTATTTTAATAAATCCATCTATATTCTGAACCCAGTGTTTCAGAACTGGGTGTGATTTTGACAGAGTCCCCTAATCCAGTAATTGCTCTGATCCTGACAATGAGACTGGGCTGTGAGTTCAGCCAATCGGGATCCACAATTGTGACTGTTCTCCCAGGAGGCCTAGGAAGCATTTAACTTTATTTGGAAACATCAAAAAGTCAAAACATTAAGAGAAACCCTCACCCTTCATTTGAAAGGAAATCACGACAGTTTGGTGAAAGTGCTGACTTATAGTTTGTTTTATTATATGTCCTCAGGACTCCATGGAAAGCAGTCTTGACTTGGTTGATTATACTTGTGAAATAAAGTAAACTGACTTGAATTGAAGACAGAAAAATAATTAATTAATTGTTTTATTTTCCTTCATGCCACTGAGTCTGTTTTGTCCTGGGCAACTTCCTCCTATTAGATAAGGAATAGTAGATATTTATTTGCAACATTTATGCTACTATTTTATCTTGGACTCAGGTTTTAGTGAAAAAAGGTGCTCATTATTTCACCTAACACAAACCCATTTAAAGACAATCTAAGCTAGTTACATGGCAGTGAGTCAATGCATAAAGGACAACACTATCCTTAAGTATAAACACTGTATCTGTATTCTGTTAGGGGAGTTGTTTGGGTCATAAGAAGTAGTCTGACCAGCTGATAACATGTGCAAGTACATGCTTCTTTGAATACATGGCCTGGGTATTTCTTTTAGTACTGGTGGAATGTAACCAAGTACTTGAGTTAGTGCAGTACTTTACTCAAGTACTTTGTACATGTTTGAGTTACTTTACTTGAGTATTTCCATTTTATGCCACTTTCTCCTTTTATTCAAGGACATTTCAGAAGGAACTTTTTACTCCACTAAAATTATTTGATTGCTTTAGTAGTTATTTGTCAAATGGTGAGTTTTACCTACAAACCCCTATTAAGTGCTTATAAAATATGCCACTTTGTTATAAATAACCACCCAACAGTATATACATTTAGAGTTGAAACAATTAGTTTATAGACCAAAAATTTGTTGGCAACTCTTATGACTGCTTAAGTTATTGTTCATGCAGAAGTCCAAACGTTTCATGATTCTAGTTCCTCACATGTGAACCTTTGCTGCCTTTCCTTTTTTTAATTATTGTAATAGATTTATGTTTTAATAATTCTGAGGTTTGGACTGTTGGTTGGACAAAATGTTTACAAACAAAAAACTTTTTCAAATGAATCAAGAAGATAATCATTAGTTATAGTCAGCTCTCAACCAGCCACAGCAGTACAATGCTGCTAACACATTTATACATGAGTGATAATAATCTAATGATATTAATGTATGATAGTGTAACAGTCACAGGAGAAATTTTTCTGCATTGAGTACCTTTCCTACATATTTTTACTCAAGTAAGATTTTGAAAGCAGGACTTGTTATGGAGTACAAGTACAATTTTACAGTGTGATATTAGTACTTTTACTTACATAAAAGATCTGACATCCACCACTGCTGGTGGCCCCAGTGGGTGTGACTATACAGGAGTTTACTCACCAAGAAACACAAGTGTTAGGTTTTCTTAGTGGTTACAGTGAACCCAACACGCTTGATTTCCTAAGGGGAGATCCGAATCCCTCAGGACTACCACACCATCTCCTTCACCTCTGCATGCCCACATGCAAACTCGTGCACACTTACACATCTACACACACGCCAAGGCCTCACCATTGAAGAGTCCCCCCAAAAAACCTAGACCCAGAACCCAAACCCACAAACCCACAAGTCGGTGTGGTGCAGTTGGACGCTCTGACAAATCTATTTGGGGCAAATTGTCAGTGAGAAACTTCCGCTCGAACTGCCTTGGACAAAACTGGCTGTTGGGGAGAGCAAATCCCGCTGCATGAGGGTGGGGGACAATGGGGGGCGAATGTGTTGATGTGCGGCCGGTGGCTGGGGAGGGACAATGGACGGATTAGTCAGTCCTCTGGCTGACTGATTTGAGATGGCTCCTCTCAGCCTCTCACCGTGGGGAGTCCCATTGTCCCGCTTCTGATTCCCACTTCTC